TGCCTGAGGAAAACGTTAGCAATGAGTGGGGAGGGTGTAGTTTTACAAAAGCCTAATACATGCTCTGCAAGTAGAACCTATGTAGAGAGAAAATTCTTCTGTTGAAGAATCATTTTATTTAGAGGCTCTCTAGTGAAGCTTCTTCATTTGACATATGAGAAAGCTGGGGGACAGCAAGGTAAATGACTTGCCTAGGTCACACAAGTAGCTAAGGTCGTTGTCTTTCAGTCTGTCTGACTCTTTGTGACCCTGTGGACCATAGTACACCAATGCTGTCCATCAGATTTTCTTGGTAGAGATACTGGAGTGGTTTGCCCTTTCCTTCTCCAGTGGATTAAGGCAAACAGATTAAGTGACTTGCCCAGGGTCACACAGCTAATAAGTGTCAGGGCCAGATTTAAAACTCTGGTCTTCTTTACTCCAAGTCCAGCACTCAATCCACTGAGCCACCTATCCAAAAAAGGTCAAAGCTGAGGTAGTCCCAGCTAACATTCCATCTTCTACAGGAAGCTTTTCCTCATCCTCTTAATTCTAGTGCTTTCCCTGTTGATGCTTTCCCATCTATCTTCTATATAGCTTGTTTGTACATAGTTGCTTGGACAGTTAGGTGACAAGATGGGTAGAGTGCCAGGCCTGGAGTCAGGAAGGCTCATCTTCTTGAGTTCAAATCTGACCTCAGATATTTACCAGCAGTGTGACCCTAGGCAAGTCACTTAACCCTGTTTGCCTCAGTTCTTCACATATAAAATGAGCTGGAGAAGGAAATGGCAAACCATTTCAGTATCTTTGCCAAGAAAACCCCAGATAGGGTCATGAAAAGTCAGCTTCCACTGAAATGACTGAACAGTAGATCTGTGATGGTAGATGGGGTTTCTTCCTGGGGAGCTCCTCAAAGCAAAGAAATCATAGGTTCAGTCCTTCTCGCTAACAACATGTCTTAAATAAAGTCTATACAAAGCATAGTAACACTCAGCATGTTGTCTGGCACTTAGTAGGTGCTTAGTCCATGTTTATTGACTGACTAAAAGCTGCTTGAAATCCTTCTACCATGTGGCTCTAACTCAAGGGTTCTTAACTTGAAGTCTTTGACTTTTATTTTTAATATTGGTAAACATAGTTCAGTATAATTGGTTTCCTTTGGGTAATTATATGGAATTTATTTCATGAATTTAAATTCTGAGAAGGAATCCATGGGCTTCACTAGACTGCCTGAAGGATTCCTGACACAAAAATGGTTAAGAGCTTCTGCTCCAAATAATGACAAAAAAGCGCCCCCATGGCTGCCTGGGGAGGCTCATGTGCATGGACCCTGTATAGACTGAGAGGACTGGGCAAAATAGGTCTTTCTTCCCCCCAACACCTTCTTCTCCTTTGCTTCCCCACACCATAGCCCTAACCACAGCCCCACAGCCCCACACCACCTCCCAACCAGCCATGTCTGTTTGGGTCCTTTTAAGGGAAAAAAGATCACCTCAGAGACTGGATGGGGTGAAGACACTGCTTCTGGTAAGTGGTTGACATCATCCTTACCAACCTTTGCCTACACTTCATTTCATTTTACCCTCTCGGGACTTATCTCTAAGGGGGAAAATTGGGGTCAGCATCTCAGAGTAATCACTACTATAATGAACTACAGATTTTCAAGCTCTTTGGCCCCAGGCAGTGGAATAAACTAGATTGTTTGAGTCCCTCTCTTGTCCCATGCTTTGCCCCATTTGGAGAGGAATAAGGGTCAAAGTTTATGAAGCTAAATATAGATATTAAAAATTAATCTTTTGGTGGCAATTTGCTGTGTTGAGGCTAGTGGGTATTCAGCTTCTGATCCTCTCAGCACCAGCTGTGGAGATTTCCTAGCTCAGCAAACCCCTCACAAACCAAGCTCAAATCTAGCCCTGGTTTGGCCATCTGTACACATTACTTTGTCTTTTTGTTTTTGTTTCTGGTGTTTGTTTATTTGTTGTAAGATAAAAGGCAAGAATGACAGCTGTGCCAGGAACTGCCAGGGTGGTCCCAGTTCAGTCGTTTATGTCTTTTGAGATTCCTTATACTTGATAGAGTAGCCTGCCAGTCCCCTCACTCAACAGAAGCCAGTATTTCCAAGTTAGGTGTGGATTCTGGGTAATTGTATCCTCTGTATTAATGCTGTAGAAAAGCAGCTTTTAAGTATTCTGGTATAAGATTAGATTGTTTTGTGTGTTAGCCAGCATCCCTGTCCCCATGTAGAGCTGGATTTAGGTTGATTAGTACAGTTCTGACTATTTTTATCATCAGCAAGCCTTTATTAAGGGCTTATTATGTATGTGGTGCGCACTGTGCTGAGATGCTGGAGGATGCATAACAAGGCAAAATTACGGTTCTTGTCTTCAAAATCCTTACGTCTTAGTGGTAGAGATAATATGCACATGATTGTGTCCGTACAAAATGTATGTAAAATATATAGGGTAAATAGGAATGAGATGGCTTGGTGGAGGAGCAGGGAGGGGAATAGGACAGGGAAAGACCTGGAGAAAATAGAATTTGAGTTTTGTTTTGAGAAAATTGGTAAAGATGAGGAGGAGAGAGAGTGTTCCACACATGAGTTGGGAAAAAGAAGTCCGAAGAGGCAGGAAGGAGCCAGGTAATGAAAAGGCAGCTGAGGGGCACAGTGGATAGAGCTGTGTACCTGTAAGTCGGGAACACAAGAGTTCAGTTCCTGCCTAGGACACTTATTGGCTATGTGACTTTGCCTCTGTTTGCATCAATTTTCTCATCTGCGAAATGGGGATAATAATAGCACCTATCTACCAGGGTTGTTGAGAACAAAATAAAATGATTTTTATAATGCACTTTGCAAACCTTAAAGTACTACGTAAGTGCTAGCTGTTGTTAAGAAAGGGTTTAAAAGGCCAAGAAAGAATGTTTGTTTGATCCTGGAAGTAACAGGGAACAACTGCAGTTTATTGGGGTTGAGGAGGGTATACCATGGTCAGACCTGCACTTTAGGTAAGAACACTGGCAGCAGAGTGGAGGAGGGACTGGAGTGGAGAAGTAATTGAGGCAGAAACAGGGATCAGCAAGTTGTTGGAAGAGTCCAGGAGTGAGAGGATGAGGGCCTGCCCAGAGTGGCAGCTTCCATGGATGTTGTTTGTGGCATTAGTGATTGACTGCAAATTTGCTAAGCCTTAGGTTCCTCATCTCTAAAAGGAAAACAAGAGCTCCTGCTTTTTCTTACTCGTCTCACATGGATGCTGAGGCTAATTATAGCGATATATACTGTGATTCAGCATAAGCAGTGTGCCGTATACATGTCCTGATTGGGGGCTCTTCCTCCACTGGAGGCCTCTATGGAGGTTGGAGTTGGCCTTAGGTTTTTGAAAGCTATACCCACAGAACACAAGCCATAAAGGCTTCCAGGCTGGTATTGATGGCACTCTCCATATCAGAGGCCAACCTAGCTAAATTCATAGAGACTCATCACTTTCTAGATAGAGCTGGGTACTAGGTGATGAATTATTTGAAGGAACAGCAAGTCATAAAAGCATCTTCTCAGGAATAGAAAGATTGACATCTGCATTGATGGTAAGAGTACTTGGGAGGGCAGGGAGTATGAGACAGTGAAAAGAGGATTGCTCCTCAGTGTAGTACTCTCTGTGTAACCATGGACAAATCACTTCAGTTCTCTGGAAAGTTCAGTTTCCTTATCTCTAAAATGGGGTTATTAGGGGCAGCTAGGTGGCGCAGTGCATAGAACTCCAGTCCTGGAGTCAGGAGGACCTGAGTTCAAATTTGACCTCAGACACTTGACACTTACTAGCTCTATGACCTTGGGCGGGTCACTTCACCCCAATTGCCTTACCAAAAAGCAAATAAATAAAATGGGGTCATTGAACTAGATAGCCCTTCTAGCTCTAAAACTACAAGGCAAACTTATAGCTTCTATGGTATGATTAATTCTTAGAGTCAAATCCTTTGTAGGCTCAGTGGTGAGCTCAAGTATATCCTGATCTCTGAATTTAAAAATTTTTGCTTGAAATTTGTAAGATGTGAAGATCTTAGAAGTAAAAGTGGGCTTTACTTCTGTAGTACAAAATCACTTTGTATTTAGTTTGTGTATATTTTAGTTTCCATATGTATGAAAGAAAAATTACTTTGTATTTCCTTTCCCCCTATTTTTAAAAAATTTACTGGAACTATAAACCTTTGAGGGCAGTGACTTTCTTCTTTGTCTCCATATCCCTGATGCCTGGCACAGCATCTTGCACATAGGAGGTCAGCAGTAAATGCTTGTTGAATTGAATCAAGCTATCAGTCATTTGGCACACACACACACACACACACACACATACATACACACACACATATACACACACACACACATATATGTATATATATGTGTCACTTTGTTCATTAGATCGTAAGCACCTTCAGGGCAGGGTATTCCAGCTCTTTTTCCTCATTTTGTACCCCCAGCACTTAGCATGGCGGGGTGGCACTCTGTTTATAAATAATAACTTAATAAATGTTTTTGATTGATCAATAGAATCAAGAATTCTCATAGTCTATGATGCTGTATGATAACATTCTTTAAGTAGCCTCCATGATAGAAGCCACTGATCATGACATTTTTCACAGCATTTTGGTTCTACCATCAAGCAATACTGGTGCCCCATAATTCCCCTGCCATCTTCACCAGAAAAACTCACATAAATAACTAACCAGATAAAAAACAAAAAATAGGGCCTCATGCAAAAGGTATAAGTGATCGTAAGAGGATAAAGGAGTCAGAGTAAGAAGAGTCAGAAGCTTATTGAAATGAAATTTTACCTTGGAGACAAGTGGTTACCTGGGTGGAATTTGTTCATTAGGAGCCAGCCACAGGATCTATGGCAGTGTTTCGAGGACTGGATCAAGAGATACTCAGCTGATATTGGCAGCTAGATTTGGCTTAGTTTGTGTGGTAAAATTCCATCATACTTTGGAACATGTTGCTAAATATTACAATATTGTTTCTTCTTTTACAGGGAGAGTCCATCTGCCAACCTGGACCCATGTGTATTTCTTAATTCTTTTATGGGCTCCAGCAGGACCCTGCTGATTGACGGTCGAGTTGAACTCAAAAGGGGCTTGCAGCGTCAGGAACGACATATCTTTCTGTTTAATGATTTGTTCGTTGTGACTAAGGTCAAGTAAGTATCTGAGTAAATGTCTTTATTAAAATGCAATGGAATCTTCTTAGCAAATGGCCACTGTGACCCTGAGGAAGATTGTTTCCTAATCAACCTTTGTTTAGCATGTGCTAACCTCTTTGGTAATGAAGGGTATTTTATTTTGTTTTGTTTTCATAACATTTCTTTTCTTCAAGTGTGCTCATTTTTAAGAATAATTCAGTGAAGATGTGTTCATTCATGTTGGGCTTGTTTTTGCAATTAATTTCTTTTGTTACGTTGGACAGACCACTTATCTTCTTGGGCCTTGGTTTCCTTATCTATAAAATGAGGGTACTGGGTTAAGTTAACTGACCTTGGTTAAATAATGTCTCTTCTGCATTTCAAAGGAGTTTTTAATTTAGCATGACCTTTGGTTTTACTTTTGACCTCACAGGTTTGCTGTAAGAACAGTGCTTCACAAAACCTTAAAGTGTTATCATTGTCAGTATCATTATGCCTCAAAATTGTCATTGGAAACCTCCTAAGAAGACAGATCCCTTCAGTAAAGGGATTACAGTGAACATAATTAAATCTTTCTCTGATGAATCCTCACTTTTGCAGTGAATGCCCCTCAAGGTCATTACTTCGAGCATCAATCTTGATTGTACCATGTGTCTGTGGATAGGTGATATATGTGTGTGAGAGATTGGGCTACATCTTTACTGACCCCAGGACATTTCCTGGGATTTTATTGTTAAAATAAATCCTTGATAACCTCCCCATTTTTGTCTTTTCTCTTCAAGTTGAGTACACAACACCCCCCCAAAAAAAATATATTCATTAAGATTTGTGATCAATAAAGGCTTTACTGATGGCTCTAAACCAGGATTGTCAAGAAATCAGACAAGTGAACTTTGAACATAATTATTCTTGATGTCCAGTTATTCACCCTCTGATTCCAACTTAAATCACTTTTATTATTAACTGAAGCTTCAGTGCCAGTGTCCTTCAGGAGATATGGCTTCATAAAGCAATCCTTGTTATATCCACGCATGAGGAAAATCTTCCTTCCCTGTAGCCTCCCCTCCCAAACAAACAAAATAACAGTGCGTGTACTGTCTGTGTTAGTAAGCAGAAATATGTGGTTGGGAACAGGGGAAGGGAAAGATAGTCTGGTCTTAAGTCTAATAATAGAAATCATAGAAATGAACTGTTTTACCTTTTCCTAGAAACAAGTGATACTTCCCTCCTCTTTAAACTTCAGGGAATGTGTTAGGATTATGGAGTGCAAAAAAAAAACAACAAGAAGATAAAGGTACAAGTTTTTCATTTATAATGTTTTTTTTCAAAAGATTTCACAACAATGTAAAACGTCAGAGTTCTAGAAAAGAGTTCCTCAGTACAAACCATACCAAAGAATGATTCCCCTCCTCAAATGTCCATAAAATCCCCAACAAGAATCATGCAGCTTCCCCTTGAAAACTCCCAGACACAGAAATCTCACTATTTCCCAAGGCAGGCCATTCTACTCTTGGATTGCTTGAATTATTTATTAGAAATATTTTTCTTACAGGAAGCCAAAATCTGCCTTTCTGTCATCTCTACCTATCCCTCTTAGTTCTGCCCTCTGATGCCAAGTGAAATAAGTCTAATTCCTCTTATTTATAAACAGTCCTTCAGATATTTTAAAATGGTCATTACATTGCCCATTAGTCTTGCCTTCTTCAGGTTAAATAGGGCCAGTTCTTTCAATGAAGAAATCCTTTGCATCCCCTTATCATCCTGCCTAGATTTGAACTTTTCAATAGCAAGTTTTGTACCTGTACAGTTGGATTTTTGTACCAAAACTAAAGAATTTTACATTAATCCCTGTTAGATTTCATTTTATTAGCTTAAGTTCTTTGTTCTAGCCTATGAAGGTCTTTTCAGGATGATAATTCCATCACCTGACATGTGCTTTATGTTTTTTAAAAATTTCATAAGCATAATCCTTCATTAGTGTCATTGCTAAAAATATTACATATTACATCAACAAGCATTTATTACGTACCTACTGTGGGCCAAGCGCTGTTCTAAGCCCTGGGGATAAAAAGAAAGGCAAAAAAGATGGTCCCCATTATCAATGAGCTCACAGTCTAATCGGGGAGACAACATATGAACACTGTGTACAAACAAGATATGTGTGGGATACACTGGAGACAATTTCAGAAAGAAAGCAGTAACATTAAGGAAGTACTGGGAAAGGCTGTAGAAAATACGACTGTAGCTGAGACTTGTAAGAAGTCAGAAGCCAAGAGGTCCAGATGAGAATGGACAGAGACCAGGCATGGGAGATAGCCTGGCAGTCAGGAGATGGAGTGTCCTGTGCAAAAGAGAGAGCTTTTTGTGACTGAATGACTTAAAACCATTCTCTGCCTTCTAACGCTCTTTATTATCATGTCATATTTGAGTTGAACAATATTAAGTTCTATTTTTGTGAGATGTTATAATACAACATTAATATTTAATCAACAGGTCTTACTTTTACTGTGATATCTCAAAAAACCTTTCAGCTATTAAGTTCAGCATCCTGGTATCCCTCATGCCCATAAATACACTGTAGCTGTTCCTCTGTGGCTGAAGGATATCCCTTCCCCCTCTTCCTGTCTGTTGGAAATGAGTAAAAAGGTACAGTGAATGATGTAAAGGGTGTCTGAGGATCAATTCCAGAGGATCTGCATTGATCCAGTGCCCCAGAGGAGTCAGAGGACCTAGATTTAAATCCCAATTTTACCTTTTACTGCCTGTTTGACCTTGGAGCAAGTTATTTAGTCCTTCTGGGCCTTAGTTTCCTCATCTGTAAAATAAAAATGACCTCAGAGGGCACCATTCCAGCTCTAAGCTCACGATTTTATAATCTTTGAGATGCTGCCAGAAAGAAGATCACATGTTGCAGGATTTAGTTTGGACAAGATTAGAATGCCTACAGATGTGGATGCAGATGTTGTTATGATGTCAGGAGGAATGCAGATGCAGAGAAGAGTATCCATGGAGGTTTTTAATTATGTCCAGTTGAGACTGCAGAGTATGCATGCATTCCTTAAATTGGAATTTGTCAAAAATGTGAATGTTAGTGGAAATAGCATTTACAGATAACTAAGGATAAAGGAATAAATAAATTCACTCCTTCATTCAAAAAGTATTTGTTGCTATTTGCGTAAGTCATTCATTATATCTATCCACAGTTCTGGACACTAAGAGGGAATTCAAAGGAAACAAAACAAAATTCTTGTTCTTCATGAGCCTACAATCTAATTGTAATACATTTTTTAATTCTTAGGAAAAAATGTTTTCTTTTACTCTTCTGGTTTTGCTCCCTCTATAACCAGGACAGTTAGAGAAAGTAGATAGTTGTTTAATGGACCTGTAATTATTTGTTTTTCCTTCATATTGCTGCTCACGTATTGACTGACCTTTCATGTAAAGACCAAGTTCTTTTCCCACTGGAAAAAATTGCTATTTTTTGTTATCTAGTCCAACCCTTTTATGTTGTAGATGAGAAAATAGAGACCTGGAGATGTTCAGTGACTTACCAGTCAGTCCCACATCCGAATTGGGTGACCCTAGGCGAGATACTTAGAGTTTCTGGACTTCAGTTCCCTCATTTGTACAATGTTAGGATTGTACTTGATGGCCCATAACAGTTCCCTCCAGCTCCACATCTGTGATCCTGAAAAGACTTAGGTTTCTCTGTTGGGACAAAAACAAATAGAACTTTATGGCTTACCGTTTACATGACGGATACCTGCAGTCTTGTAGCTATTTTGTATATGCTGTGTTGGGGATGGCAGCTAGGGGGGCAGTGGATAGAGCTCTGGGCATAGAACCAGGAAGATTCATGTTCATGAGTTCACATCTGTCTTCAGATGCTTATTAGCTGTGTCACCCTGGGCAAGTCCCTAAACCCTGTTTTTTCCTCAGTTCCTCATCTATAAAATGAACTGGAAAAGGCCATGGAAAACCACTCTTTGCCAAGAAAACTCCAAAATGGGGTCACAGAGAATCAGACACAACAACAACATAATGTTGGGGACTCACACCTGATTATGTTATCATCAAATATCTAGTACTTTCTTAGAACATTCTACCTGGTTGAGAACTTTAAGTAACAGAAACAATGCTCTGTGTTCTTGCTCAGACCCATACTGTCAGTCTGTATATCCTCTTAGATTCACAATTGTATTGTAATAGAGAATAAGTAATTTGTTGGAATTAATAGCCTGAGTTTTTTGAGTTTTTAAATTTTTTTTTTAACTTCCAGACACTGTTTGGGAATTAGTGGTTTAACTTGAGTGGTTGTCTCTATACAAACCAGATTTACTGGAATTTATCAACTGGTTGGTTCATTCAGATAGTTGAACCAATCCATGTATGTCCGCAACTTTAAATGATCATGAGGAAAGGAAATATTAAATTAACACAGTGACCATTCTCTTATTCTATCTAGAAGTGAAGAGATTAGTTGACATTATTTGACTAAAGCAGGGACCTTTTCTTATTCAAACTTTATATCTCCCCTAGTACGTAGGGTGAGGACAGGAAGTACAATGAATGTTTGTGGAGTAAAGGAATTGAAAATCATTTGAATTTCCAGAATATCAGAAAGACTGTCATAAAATAGCTTAGTTTGGGAATTCATTGGGCAGGTAAGTTTGTTTTTTTTTCTCCCATTGGAATAATAATTAGGTTTTTTAAGCCTATTAAAGTTACTAGAGAAAAATGTTTCTGCTACCATTAAAATTTTTTTAAAAGAGCAAGTTAGGTTGTTTTTGTTTTTGAACTAACGCACTATTCATGTTATACAGAAAAGTTCATATACTACCTGTGTAAAAAAAATAGGGTACCCAGTTGGCATTTACTAGAAGGAAATACATTTGTAGTTAGACTTTGTTGCTGCTGGCCTCCTAGTTCACACGGTTGCCAGTTGAAGAAATAAATTTGGAAATAATTTATAGGCCATTATACTTTGGTCAAAAAAGTTAAAAAGTAACAAAATATGGATAATTGACATGTTTGTTTGGAGGCCTTAGGTTTTACAGTAAATTACAGATCTAGGAAAAATTGCTTAAAAGTCTTACAAGTTTCCACCATCTACTGGGGAATTCTGCCTTAACAGAGAAGGCATATTGAAACAGAACATAACGTAATGATGGTTGGTAATGAAAGAATGAGATCAAATTTGGGGACGAGGATTTTTGTCTCCGTTGCGCAGATTTGCCCCTATTGGTTTGTTCTGGTTAATATTGTGGCAACGGTCATAGATTTAGACCTGGAAAAGCACCAGGCTGGTCCAACCACCCCTCAAAAAAATGAGGAAACTGAGGCCAGAGATGCTAATTGACTTTCTCAACTATTAATTGATATTAACAATAGGCATTAATAGGCAGAATCATGATTTGAATATCTTTTGAATCTCAATCTTTTCATTAAACCAGATGGCCTCATCTCAAGGCAGTTTCATTTTATACTCATTTATGTCCAATTACTAGTATTCTTGACCTCGGTATTTAACTCAGCACATCAAAGTACATGAGTATCAGCAATTAAGCAAGTTGAAAGACTGCTTGGTGCATATGTTTTGTCTCTTTATAGTTTTGTTGTTACAGTAAAGCTAGATTAATTTGTACTAAATCACTGGAATTTCAATGATTCCGCTTTCAGACTTTGAGTTTGGAGGTAAGCAAATGAACAATGGAAATGAAGGATGATTTTTTTGAAAGGTACTGATTAAATGTATTTGCACAAGTGAAATTAATTTTTTAAACTTTTTGCTAAGATGGCATTAAGGAATTTTCTGTGGCCATACTCTGAAAAACATTCTTAGTCTCAGAGTAATAGTCTCTTCTAGTAAATTGGGCCAACAAAGAGAAAGAGTACTCCTTTGCTTCATACCAACATTGTAGGAGTATTGCAGGTGCTAAGGGAAATGCTGAGAGGATCTGGCATTGTTCTTGTCCTGGGAGCTTTACCTTTTTGTTGCATAAATAATAAATGTCCAGGAATCACCATTATGCAAATTAGAATGTGACAGATGCTTAAGATATGTACATACTAAGGGCTCTAGAAACACCAAAGAAAGAAATTACTTTGAGCTAGGTGCTGAGCTAGGAGGTCCAAGGAGGATGAGGGACTTAACACAAAGTCACACAGAAAGAGTCAAAGGCAGAATTGCATTCCAGATTCTCTAGGAATTTATAGCTAACATTTTCCCACTGCACTTATTTGACCTTCTCATTCTAAAGGAAACTGAGGCCCAGAGAGGTTAAGTTACTTGTCCACGGTTACTGCCCAAGATAATAAGCATCGTGTGCTTGGGGAATAGTTTGACAGATGGAAATAATAAGGAAAACCTTTCCTTGGGGAGACAACAACATGAGTACAGTGGCAGAAAAGCTTAGAGGGGGCATGGGTGAGAGTGTGGGTTGGTTTTGTCTTGAGCATTTAGTTTGTGATGATTTTCGCTTGAGATAAGTCTGAAAAGGTAGTCTGGGGTTAGGATCTGGGAGAAATGAATGGAACTTGAATTTTATTGGGTAGGCAGTGAGAAGATTGAGGAGCCCTTTGAAGAGTTTTGAGCAAAAGTGTTCTATGATCCAGTGTTTTAAAATGAATACTCTGGCTGCATTTTATAGAATTGGGAGATGGGGAAGGGGAAGGGGAAAACACTGAGAAGCCTGGAGACTAATTAGCAAATCTTTGCAGCAGTTTCGTAAGAGACAACAAAGCTAAGAACAAAGGTAAAGGCAGTGGAAAGGAGAAACTGGGTATAAGAGACATGGTAGAAAACACTATGGTGAATTGATCAGAGCAATGGGCTGAGAGTCAGGAGATCTGGGTCCTGTTCCAGACTCCAACGACTAAACCAAATAATTTAATCTTCCTGTGCCTCACTTTAATCTATGAACAGTGTTGCACTAGGGGATTCCTCATGTATGATCCACTTCTAAAAATCTGTGATACTGTTTCTTCCTTATGATGGTAGAATTGGTAAGATTTGTTGAATGATTAAGCAAGAAGTAGAACATGCTTTGCGGTTTGCACCCTGGATGACTTCAAGGGTTGTGGTGACATTAACAGAGAAAGGGACTGAATCCAGAAAAGCTAAGTACTTTGGGTTTTATGGTCCCAACAATTATTGGCAGTCAAGACTTTACTTGACAATTCAACCTACTTAATGAAAAACGTGAAGAAACGTCGTTAATGTCGAAATAAAATAGGGAGAGAAGCCACATTGTATCAGAGGGCATTTTCTAGTTGCATTTTTATTCAGAATACCTGAGAGAATCTAGGAGGAGGTTAACCTTTGGATCTCAGTTATTTTTGAAGTATGATGCTTGAATAATCTCATTTCATAAATCCCATTGAAGAACATTACCTTGTAAATGTCTCATGAAGCAGAAGAATCACAGGGACGTTTGAAATGTGAAATGCCTTTGGTCTCATTGGGCTTTCTCTTTATCCTTTACCTTGTCCCACTTATTATTTTGTCTCAGGCCCCTCTTGAGCTTTTAAACTGCCAATTAGGCCAAATGATGACGACTATGGTGGTTTTGAGATCAAATGTCTGGGGAGGATTATGTCGAAACTATCAAAAAAGCCATTTAACTTGTGGCTTAAACTGGATCTTTCCTTGGGTCTCAAGAGGCAAATGGTAAGTGTGTCAACTCATTGCTTAGCCAGATGTGATCCATCTGACCTTTGGCCTGAATCCAACTCATTTGGGTTAGGTTGGGTTTTCAGTATTACCCAGAACCCCTGAGAAGGTGATGTGATCACAATTTCAGCCAGCAAAGGGGACAGAGAAGTGAAAGATTTGGATAGGACCCAGGGGGAAAACCTTGTGATAATTCTATTAATCATTGATGAAAACTTACTTAGGGTGAAAGCACATTCCAAAGCCATACAGTAAGGACATGTCTGTATTTTTAAATCTGTCTCTACAGAGATTTGAAAAAAAAAAAGAGAGAGTAAGGGATTTTTAAAAAAAGATGACAAGTGCTTTTCAATTGTGTTCATTACCCAGAGATCTTCAGGAATGTAGTGTTTTATGAGATCAAATGAGAAAATATTTTTTCAAGCACTTAGCTCAGTATGTGGCACATAGTAGGCAATATACAAGTGTTGAGTACCATAATTACTAGCATTATTAAAATGAATGGATGTTTTATTCACATATAATGTTCATTGTCTAATACACTAGTATTTGTTCTTAGGATTTTTCTTACTATTCAGTAGTGAGAGTAGGCTGGCCTAAAGAAATGCTGGCACCTTTTTGCTGTATATACAGTCATTGCACTAGGGCTTGCTCTCTAGCCCTTCTCCTAAGCTGTCTACCTTTTGACCTGCTCACCAATACACTGACTACAGGCTCCTCAGGGGATGAATATGGCAGCTAGGTTCAAGGGTCTATCAGCTACTTGTTGGCTGCTCTGGTAAAGGGATTGAATGAGAAAGGGGGTAAGTCTACCAGTTAAAATTATAATTTTTCAGTTACCTTTGAATTTCTGTTATTTATGTTGTTTGTCTTTCGTGAGTCTTTCATTGAACTCAACCTATATTTATTGAGTACCTACTAAATGCAAAAGACATTGTCCTTGGATGCAACTGAGGATACAACAGTGAATAATGAAGAACTGATTACTGAAGAGAGAAACTGAGACATTTGGTTCAACGCAAAAAATGCCCACAATATGCAAGTTACTATGCTGAGTACCGAGTATTAAAAAAAATTAGAAAGAATACATCTTTGCTTTGGAGAGCCTTGTAGTCTTTGGGGTGGAGAAAGGCATTCATGGTGGTAGTGGGTGGTATGTGTTACATAAGATAGTTGAATGAAGAAGCAATACAAGATAGAATGTGAAAGGTCAATGGAGAGATGCAGCAGTTTTAGGAATGTTTGAAGACAGGCTTCATTTGCTTCAGCAGGGACTATCAGTGGGGAGTGGAGATCCAGAGAGAGTTGGCACCTGTTTTGGCCCAAAATGGAAGACAAGGATTTCAGCAGTCAAAGATAATGGAGGAAATGTGTTTCAGACACAAGAGACAGCTTGTATGAATGCATAGAGGAAGAAGAATGTAAGACGTGGTTGGACAATAACTAGCATTTTAGTTTGGCTAGAGTGTAGAGAATATGAAGAGGAGTGCTAAGAATAAACCCTGCAAGGAAGATTCAAACTAGATGCTGGAAAAGAGAATTGTATCAGTCCAAAACACTCAGGCAGAGGGGGAATTACAGATAAGGAATATATCCGAGATCCCTTTAACCACTGTTTTCAGGGCCCACAGGTAAGGGCAGAGGTGTATCCTTGAGCTTCTACTAACTTCCCACTATTCGTAGGTTACCACTTAGTGTGCCTAAAGTCAGTAATCTGGCCTTCTAAGCTGACAAGGCTCTTAACCTTTGTCAAAGGCCTCAGTGGGTGTGGATCCCCACCTGTATGGGAAATGTCCTACCTATCTAATCTGCCATATGTTACTCGCACTCCTTCCCTGGGCTGAACCAAACACCTAAATTGTGTGTGTGTGTGTGTGTTTTTGTCTTTCTAGGTATAACAACAATCTTAAGATAAAAAATAAAATAAAATTAAGTGATATGTGGACAGCAAGCTGTGTAGATGAAGTGGGTGAAGGGAATACCAATACTATGAAGTCATTTGTTTTAGGATGGCCTATTGTCAACTTCGTTGCCACTTTCAGGTAAGAACTAAAATGTGACCCTGATGATTGTGTTATTTCTATTCTTTTTCCTTTAGGGACTTGCTTTTTGCTGCTCAGCTATAGCATTCACAAAGGGTTCACAGAGTAGAGAAGTAATGCTCACTCTATTTGGCTTCAGAAGAGAAAATCAGAGTCAATTTTGTGGGGTGGCAAATTTTGGCTATAATGTAGGAAAATAATAATTTCCTAACAACTAGAACTGTCCAAAGTGGAATGAGCTGCCATTGGAGATAGTGAGGCCCCTGCTCAGTTACTCACAAGTTTAGAGGCTGTCTACTCCAGCCTTCTCATTTTACAGAGGAGGAAATGAGACCCATGGAGATGAAGTGACTTGTCCAAGGTCACATAGGCAACAAGCAGCAGAAGTGGGATTTGAATCCAGGTCCTCTGCCTACAGAGATAGTGCTCTCTCTGCTGTACCATGTTATCCATCTCCATGTACTCTTTGTCAAGAATAGTGCCTTTTGCCCATGGTGGGAACTAGAGGTATGACTACTTATTTAAGCTTTTATGGATAGGATTTATGTCTCAGCAAAGAATTTGACTGTGTGCCCCATAAGATATCTTCTTCTGAATATTCCACAATTTTAAGAAACTTTTCCTTATTTGTCCCCAAAGGATGGCCCCAGGTAGAGAGCACAGATCATCAGGATGCCTGAATGGGTGCCTGGGGGAAGAGAATCTTTTGATAATGGGACACTAGGGTAGAGTACCATATGTGAGTAGAAAGAGAGAAGGATGTCTGGCTTCAAACACATCACACTCACTAGCTGTGTGACTCTGGGCAAATCACTTAACCCCAACTGCCTCATCATAATAAAGGGGGAGGGCAGCTAGATGGCGCAGTGGATAGAGCACCGGCCCTGGATTCAGGAAGACCTGAGTTCAAATCTGGCCTCAGACACTTGACACTTACTAGCTGTGCGAGCCTGCGCAAGTCACTTCACCCCATTGCCTCGCCCAAAGAAAAAAAAAAAGAGGGAATGATGAACATCTATATAAGAAGAAAGTGGGGGTATTTGTGACAGTGACAGTTCCATCCTCAGAAATCAGCAACAGAAGCCCAATAACCACTTGTCAGGGATGTATAGAAAAGATTCCTTCATTTGGTAGAATACTCTATACCTAGAATTCTTTCACATTTTATAGGAGAGAGTAAAATGTAAACTAGCAAATAGTATCCAATTTGATTTCCATGGAAAACTCTAATAGCATTAGATTATGGTTTCAACCTGAGTCCATATCAATTAAACTCTTTGAGGTTCCTGAAGACACTGATAAGGGCTTATATTTTCCCATATGAGTTTTTTCATTAATGTGTTTGAAGAACTGACAAAATAGCATTTCTCAGTCAACCTTGTTATATATAGGTTCCCACAAGTGTAGACTTTACTTTTGGTGAGGTCATGAATAATGGTCCTTCAGGGGTGGACCACACAGAGCGATTTAATAGAGGGATACGTGGTGGGAATGAGTAAGTTGTAACTTATTACCAATGGAATTGGGGAAAACATAAAAAATAAACATAAGAGATGTGTGACCCAAAAGGAGGATGGATGTTGGTCATGAAGTGAGAGTAAGGCTAACTGATGGGCAATCTGCGTGCTGCATTGGTACCCCCATGTGATAACGAGATACCTAGAATCAGTCCCTGCATCACATTTGGTTCTTCTTCAGTGCAGAATGTCTATGAGGACAAGAGGTCAATGAGCTGTGCTCCTATCCTGTGGATAGTATGCCCTCATTGATGAAGTCATAGAATCATTAAAACATTTGTAATGGTCAGATGGACAGTTAAGTGGCACGGTGGATAGAGTGCCAGGCCTGGATTCTGTAAGACACATCTATGTGAATTCAAATTGGGCCTCAGACACATTAGCTGTGTGACCCTGGGCAACCCTTGTTCTTCATCTATAAAATGAGCTGGAGGAGAAATGACAAACCACTCTGATATCTTTGCCAAGAAAACGCTAAATGGGGTCCAAAGAATCAAACACAACTCAAATGACTGAACAATGATAGTGGTCAGGTGATTAATATTACTATAAAGTAATACTCAAATACTGCTATGAAGACATATCAGAATGGCTCAAAGCAATAAATGTGTTGTTAAAATTACAAAACCCTGCCATTTCACTTATGCCATAGAATAGCAGTAGGGCACCAGATGGTTAGACTAGGTGGTTAAATGGTCTGATGTGGTATCTCCAGCCCTTGTCACAGAAAACCAGAGTTGTGACTGTTGTGCAGAAGGGTAGAGAATTATGCCTCAGGACTGAGTCATAAGTTGTAGTGGGGATAGATAGGAATTCCATCTGTAACATCTCTGACCAAGTGATTATCCAGCCTCTATTTGAATACTTTCATTGATGGGGAACTCACTATTTCACAAGGCACTCCATTTCTATTATTGAACAGTTCTAATTTTTAAGAAGCTCTTCCCTAGATTCAACTGTAAGCTTCCTCCCCTCATCTCCTAATGATTTGTCCTAGTTCTTTGAGGCCACGTTAAGTACAAGAAGTCCTAGTTATCTGAATCCTCCCAGAAAAGATGAGTTTCCATTCAAATATCCCTCCACCTTTACACTAGCTCTGTCTCATCTTCATCAGTCAGTATTAAGTAGCTGATGGTGCTGGGCTGTTCTTAAAGAGAATGATTTGAATGTCAAAGTATTAAGGGAGGCCTTGGGGAAATTGATGAAGAAATGGAATATTTGCAACAGGAACTTTCTATATGACTGTAATGTAAAAGTCAAATGTAAAATGGTTGTATACTGCTGTCTTAAAATTTTATTGGAAAAATTATGCCCCCATAAAGTCAGCATTTGATTCATTCTGATTATTAGTGAAGAGGCTTAATTATAACCCACATTTTGTTTAAAAAAAACAAAAAACAACTTATTTTCATAATTGTTGGTTTCATTTTTCAATATGAAGTCCCAGTGGAACTTTTTCCCCAATATTTAGTCCCCATTGTAAGTAAATTCACTTTTAGAAGCCTCTTCTGGTACTAATCACACTTAGACAATGACATTCTGTATAATGGGAAGTCTATTTCCTGCATTTCTTGTTAACCCACTTAGTGTTTCAGAAATCCCTCTCTCCTCCAATTCAGAATTTAGATCTTGAAAAATGATCAGCTGTTAAGAACTTGTCTGTTAATTAACTTGCCTCCTCGCTGACAGCATTTCCCTTGACTGTTTACTGCTCATTTAACTACCACTTTGACCCTAACTGCCCAAAGCTGTGCCAAACCACCAAAGAGTATTCGGTATGCCCTCCCAAAAACCATCTGTGTGGGATCTGCTAACCTCTGAGGCCCTTCTGACAAAAATTCCAACTAATAAATCAGGAAATTAATTAAATCAATGAAATCAACTATTTTTCAAAGTTTATTTGGAAAAAAATAATGTTATTATTTCTCTTAAGGTGAAAGTGATTGCAAAAAAAGCTTAAAGTGAAGAATTAGCTGCATAAATCTATGGTGTCTTTAATAATTCCATACAATTATTTTCACTAGGGAGAAAAAGGTTGAGGAAGCCTCTTGTTTTATACAGTGCTGGCAAGACAATGAAATCTGAACTGGATTCTCTTTCACAGTGAAAGGAGGGGAACATTGACATGAACAGTGGAAAATCGTGGATGATCTCCCAGCTAGGGCTTCTGGGAAATTCTGTCATCCATTTCAAGGTTATGGGGTTGCACCAGGGCTTTGCTCTTGACCCAATAGGTCAAAGCATTCATTGACTGGGTGTCAGGGAATATAAATGAGTAATGACAAATTTTTAAAAAATTGTATAAAATGAATAATATTAATTGAGTAAAGGTACATTGGGATTTCTTTTCAAGTAAAGAAATTTGTGAATCTGACTTAACTTTTTGACTGAGGTCTTGTCTAATGAATACTAAGACTTGACCTAAAGGCTGCATTCATTCCAAGACTGTAAGGAATTATGGAAGAAGAAAAGTATATATATGAAGGTTACAAAAGATAGAAAGCTTTATGACAGTCAATCCAAGGAGATTATTTAGAAGAAAACTTGCTAAGCAACACTGATACAAATTATAAGTATTTATTAAAAGCTTTTTCCTGGAAGATGAAAACAATGAGAAGAGTTTCCAGTTCCTCTAAGTGATTTCTCTGTAAACATGAACATCTGATTGAAAGTACCAATGAAACATTGGCATAACCATGAAAGGCTCAACATTTATCAGATTCTTTCATCTTCACCTGTGTCCTCAACATAGGAATGCCTAAGATAGATATTTAGTAAGCAGTAATTTAGCTGCAAGTGTGCACAATGAGAAGACTGTGAGAGTAAATGGACTCAGAGTTTTAAAGATTCTAAGAGTGAACCGCAGGGGATTAATTAGTACAATTGGAGTTGTCAACATTAAACAACAAAAAAGATAACTGGATTTTTTCCCCCAATTACTGTTTGAGTTTTCTATGCAAAGATTTTCATACAAATTTAAAATCTGTTAGTATGCCAGAATCTCCCTATAATACCATTCACTGTGGAACAGAAGCCAGTAAAAGATGGGTCTGTCTTGAATGCTGGATGAGGGGCTCTAAATTTGTCAAAATACCAGATTAATGATAATCATACCTCACATATGTATGGGGCTTTAGAGGTTTTCAAAGCATTTTTTTCATATTTCATGTTATAAAGGGTGTCCTAAAAGTCTTGGTTCATTTGTAAGCCTAAAATTTAAAACTGCATTCAGACTTGTGGGACATGCTATATAATGCAAAATTAGATTTGCAGGCACTGAATTTTAATTCTTTCCTCCAGAACAAGAATTCAGCTGAAGAAGGTTTAGCTCAGGATCACTGTCCATCACTGTATACTTAAAACATTTCAGGGGATTTTATTGACATGGTTATTCTAACAGTGTAGATCATTACTCATGCATACTTTCCTATTCTACAGGACTCTTGCCCATGAAGTCTTCCTATAAGTCACTGAACATTTCTTGGTTATTGGTGCAATACTTAGGCTGTCCATCTGTTAATTCTCACTCTTGCTACGTAACTGACCCACCTCTTTTTCTAGTTATATTTTTCATATTTGATGACATTTTTGCTTCTTTCTATCCATGAGTTGGTAGCATGCTATAGCCTACTTTCCCCCACATATCTTTCCATTGCCCTTTGGGGTATCTGATTGGCCAAATTGGTGTTAAAAGACTTTGCAACCATATACCATGTGCAGAAGGACTTTCTTACTATCAATGATAAAATCATGGCTTGATTCAAATAAATGATCAAATTTACGTGATCTAATCTGGGATATTTTTATAAGGCAACTTTACCCATTGGGGACTCCCTAAATAGGAATTCCTCTCTTTGACACTGGAGTCAGTGATATTTTAGCTTATTTATATTCACTTGTGTGTCAGAATTTACTGACTTGGTAGTGTTTTCAATAGATTGGGGATTATAGATATGTAAAAAGGAACATTTGATTTCATTTGACTTTTGTTTCCATTTTAAAAAAATTATTAATTTCTTTTGATTTATCCCATTTTCTTTGACTACAGCTCTCCAGAACAAAAGGAAAAGTGGCTTTCTCTTCTCCAGAGGTATTTTAACAATATCTTGATTTTGATCAGAAGTTTCATTTTTTGTAACTGGTAATAATAGAATAAAAATTTCCCCCCCAAAGAATACCTTAAACCAGTATATTTTTCTTTGGTGGAAATGGTTAGATGATGACTGTAGGAAGCTATTATCTACATTATAGATGAAGGATAATAATGTACAGTTAATTTAGGGCCTCAGTTTACATACATACATACATAAGCTTTCTTGGGAGAATGTGGACTTTTTAGAGAGAAACAATTGCCTAAGATCTCTTTCCCCTTGTTGCCCACTAATGAGTTGAAATGTCTGCTATATTCTCATTATTAAGATTCATTATTATCCTGAAGCAAAATTTAATGATTTTCCACAAAAACCTGGCACTCTACTTTTTTACTTCCAAATCAAGTTAAATCACTCTTATCCCTACTCTCAAGGAGCTTACAGTCTATTTTTGTTCCCTTACTTACTTTAACATAGTTGTTGTCATAGACATGCCTGTTCTCTCCAGAAAGTGATGCCTAAGAATTATTCTGCTGGAGAGTTACAGAATACAAAAATGTAAATTATGGCATTCCTTCTTACTTACCAATATCCAAGGGGATGCAAGTGGGAATAGAGAATATCACAGAAGTCTGGGAGAGTGGGAAACACAGAACATAAATCAGAACTGATTCCCTAAGATGTGTTTTTCAGGCTTCAGGACTATAGGTTTCACTTGATCACAACCATGCCTTCTCTTGATCAAGATTGCCCATTTGTTCATTTTTCCCTGGTCTGTGTTTATGCCTTCAGATTTCCCATTTTCTCTTTGGCCTTATGATTGATTTGTCTTCTTAATAACATTAATGTTTCTATAAATGTGAAAAAGTAAATAGTTTAATTAAAAATACACCATTACCCAAATCCATTTGATTTACTGCTGTGTATATTTGTGTTTGCATTTGATTAGATATATTGACATAGAGAAGGAGAAAAACCATCCAAAGAGCATTCCTCTTAAAATCTTTCCAAAGGATATTGGTAATTGTGCTTATGTAAGTCAATCAATTTAATTCTAAGTCATAGGATATGAAAGAACACAAGAAACATTAGGGGTTGGGAGAAGAAGGGAGAAGATATTCAAAAACTACTATGTGAGTAGAAACCTCTCTCTATGTATGTAAGATGCAAATTTTACATTCAGGGGCATGCGGAGTAGTGAGAAATTCATGTTAATTCCAATCTTTGACATCTTTAGCGAGTATATTTCAGAATATCCAAGGAAATACTTATCATATGTCTCTCTCCTCCTCTCTTCCTCCCTCTGGCCTGAATGCTTCACCGGCCTCTTTGAGAAGCAGCTGCAGGGTCATATTGTTGCACTGACTAAAGAAAGTCATTTCCCTAAAGAGGTATTTCCTCTTAATAATAAACAATCTCCATTTTCTGAACTGTCATTTCTTAAACAGAGGCATTTCAGTTTGTAAAAAGATCAGACTTCATTCTATGGAGTGGAAGAATAGCAACCCCCCTCCCAAACCACACCCCCCATGAGTGGACTACACAAGCTTGATTTTTAAGACAGCAGCATATTTCCATCCTCCTTCTCCCCTCCCCCACCAAAGGATACTTTTCTCTTATATTGGCCAAACTAGGAGAGTTTCAAGTCTCCATCATTGTGTGTAATTCAGTGTTCTAGAATTGTGGTGTGATGGCAAAGATGTTATCAATGGGCAAAGATAAAAAAACTTCATTTTCTGAAATTTTAAAAATGACACGGTGGTCTCTCATAGGCTACAGCAGATCTAGATCACTGGGAACAGTGCTGTTTTTATGTGAAAAAAAATGTATAGTGCAAAACAGTCATGTTCTAGCCCAAAGCAAAAGTTTCGCAAATATTCTGACCTATTCCTGAGTGCCAGATGCCACTGCTTCAAAGAAATGCTTGATTGTTTTAATGGTATGGGAACTCAGTGATCTCCTGTGGCATATTCCTCTCTTGTCTTCCTCCTTTGCTTTAGTTGCAGTGAAAATTGGTTACTTTAAAAGTTTTTGTGGAAGATCACTTGGTTCTTTCTTTTAAAAGAGTGTGTGTTTGTGTGTGTGTGTGTGTGTGTGTGTGTGTGTGTGTGAGATAGGGAGGATCAAAGCATAACCTTAGAAGAGGACAGTAATGTCAAAATGGCTATATGTGAAGTCTCAAAAAAAAATTTAATTTGGTCTTAGGCCCAAAAAGAATTCCTGGAAGAGCTTAAAAAAGATTGCATAAAGCAAATTAGAGAAGTAGAAGAAAAATTGGAAATAGATGAGACTAATGCAAGAAAATCATGAAAAAAGAGTCCATAGCATGGGAAAAGATATATAAAAACTTACCAGGGAAAATATCTCCCTAAAAAATAGAATTGGCCAAATGGAAGTTCACTGAAGGAAATAATCCCTTAAAAATTAGAATCAAGCAAGCGGAAACTAGTGACTCTATGAAATGTCAAGATGTGATAAAATAAAATCAAAAAAGTGAAAAAAAAATAGAAGAAAATGTGAAATTTCTCATTGGAAAAACAACTGACCTAGAAAATAGATTCAGGAGGGGTAATATAAGAATTATTGGACTACCTAAAAGCCATGATTTTAAAAAAGGCCCAGACAGCATATTTCAAGAAATTATCAAAGAAAACTGCCCTGAGATATTAGAACCAGGGGCAAAATAGAAATTGGAAGAATCCACTGATCACAGCTTGAAAGAGATCTCAAAATCAAAACTCCCAGGAACATCATAGCCACATTCCAGAGCTCACAGATCAAGAAGAAAGTGTTGCAAGCAGCCAAAAAGAAACAATTCAAATATCATGGAGCTACAATCAGATTTACACAGGATTTAGTAACTTCCACATTAAAAAACTGGAGGGCTTTGAATATGATATACCAGAAAGCAAAGGAGTAAGTATTACAACCAAGAATCATTTACCCAGCCAAATTGAATATAATCTTTCAGGGGAAAAAGTGGATATTTAACAAAACAGAGGACTTTCAAGTATTTCTAATTAAAAGACCAAAGCTGAATAAAAAATTTGACCTCCAAATATAAGACCCAAGGAAAACATAAAAATGTAAAAAAGAAACAAGAGAAAACATAAGAAATTAAATGAGGTCAAACTGTTTATATTTCTGTGTTGCAGGATAATATTTATAATTCTTAATAACTTTATTACTTTAAGAGTAGTTAGAAGGAATATGTGTAGACAGAAGGTGTGGATATAAGGTGACTTCGATGGGATGATACCAAGAAAAACAAAATAAAGGAATGAGAAAGAAAATTGCATTGAAAGGAGAGGGAGATTGAATAGGGTAAATTATGCCACATAAAAGAGGCATGAAAGAGCTATAATAATGGTGGAACAGATGGGAGGGTGGGCAAAGTTTAGACCTTACTGTCATCAAAATTGACTTAAAGAGGGAATACTGTACACACTTCATTGGTAGTATCTTGCCCTACAAGGAAATAAAAAGGGACAGGATAATAGAAAGGGAAGGAGGGACTGATAAAAGAGAAGATAGATTGGGGAAGATGGTGATCAGAAGTAAAACACTTGTGAGGAGGGAAAAGGTTGGGAGAGTAAGAGAGAAGGGGGATAGTAAAGGTAAAAATAATATAGAAGAAAATTCACAGTTAATTATCATAACTATAAATGTTAATGGGATGAACACACCCATAAAATGGAAATGGATAGCAAGAATGGATTAAAAACCAGAATCCTATGATGTGATGTTTACTAGAAACATATTTGAAGCAGAGAGATACAGAGAGGGTAAAGGTAAGGGGCTGGAACAGAATTTATTATGCTTCAGCTAAAGCAAAGAAAGCAGGGGCAGCAATCATGATCTCAGATGAAACAAAAGCAAAAAAGAGATCTAATTAAAACAGATAAGGAAGGAAACTATATCTTGCTGAAAAGTACCACAGACAATGAAGTCACACCAATACTAAACATAAATGTACCAAATGATAACAGCATCTAAATTTCTGAAGGAGAACTTGAATATGTTACAGGAGGAAATAGATAATAAAGTTGTACTAGTGTGGGACCTCAACTTTCTCCTCTCAGAACTAGATAAAACTAACCTCCAAAAAAATAAGCAAGAGAGAAATTGAAGAGGTAAATAAAATTCTGGAAAAGTTAGATATGATAGATCTCTGAAGAAAACTGAATGGGAATGGAAAGGAATATACCTTTTTCTCAGCAGTACATGGCACCTACACAATCAATAATTTCATTAAAGAAAATGACAGCAATGCTACTACATAGCAGAATCTATGGAATGCAGCCACAGTGGTACTTAGGGAGAAAGTTATGTGTCTAATTACTTTCACTGGTAAAATAGAGGGAAAAAATAGATTGGTGAATTGGGCATGCAACTAACAAAACCAGAAAAAGAACAAATTAATATCCAATTAAACACCAAATTGGAAATCCTGACAATCAAGGAGAGATTAATAAAATTGAAAGTAAGAAAACCATTGAACTAATAAATAAAACTAGAAGCTGGTTTTAAGAAAAAAAACAGTAAAATAGAAAAACCATTAGGTAATTGGATTTAAAAAAGGAAAGGAGAAAATCAATTACTAGTATCAAAAATGAAAGGGTTGGATTCACTACCAGTGAAAAGGAAATTAAGACAACTGCAAGGAGCTATTTTGCCAAATTATATGCCATTTAATTGGACAATCTAAATGAAATGACTGAATATCTAAAAAAAAAAAACATAAATTACCCAGAGTAACAGAAAAGGAAATAGAATACTTAAATAACCCAGTCATAGAAAAACAAATTGAACAAGCCGTCAGTGAACTTCCTAAGAAAAAGTCCCCAGGACCAGATGGATTCACAAGAAAATTCTACCAAACATTTAAAGCACAATTAATCCCAATACTATGTAAACTATTTGGAAAAATAGGCAAAGAAGGAGTCTTACCAAATTCCTTTTATGACACACAAGAAAAAAGAGGTGGTCTGGCCATACCAGATCTCAAACTGTATTATAAAGCAGTAATTATCAAAACAATCTGGTACTGGCTGAGAAACAGAGTGGTGGATCATTGGAATAGATTAGGTACAAATTATATTATAGTAGATAAACCCAAAGATACAAGCTTTTGGAAGAAAAACTCATTATTTAACAGAAACTGCTGGGAAAACTGAAAAATGGTATGGCTGAAACTAGGTATAGACCAACATTTCACTGTCTGCCAAGATAAGGTAAAAATACTACATGATTTACACAAAGAGTGATACCATAAGCAAATTTAGAAAGCTTGGAGTGGTTTATCTGTCAGATTTGTGGGTAAGGAAGAATTTAGGATCAAAGAAAATATAGAGAGAATTGCAAAATATGAAAGATAATTTTTAATTTTATAATTTTCATGTATTAAATTATTATATAAATTATTAAAATTATAAAATGTTAAAGTTTTTGCATAAACCAAACCAATGTAACCAAAATTATAAGGAAAGCCGCAAACTGAGGAAAAAAATTTGCAACAAGTATCTCTGATAAAGGCCTCATTTCTCAAATATGTAGAGAACTGAGGCAAATTTATAAAAATAAAAAGTCATCCCCCAATTGATAAATGGTCAGATAATATGAGCAGGCAGTTTTCAAATCAAAGCTATCTATAGTCATATGAAAAAAATGCTCTAAATCACTATTGATTAGAGAAATGTAAATTAAAGCAACTCTGACATATGACCTTATACCTATCAGGTTGGCTAACATGACAAAAAAGGAAAGTGATGGATAGTGGGGGGGATGTGGGAAAATTTGGACACTAATGCACCATTGGTGGAGTTCTGAATTGATCCAACCATTCTGGACAGCAATTTGGAACTATGCCCAAATGGCTATAAAACTGCATATCCTTTGATTCAGCAATAACATACCTATGTCTGTATCTCAGAGACATCCAAAAAAAAAGGAAAAGGACCACGTACACAAAAATTTTCATAACAGCTCCTTTTGTGGTAGCTAAGAATTGGAAATCAAAGGGATGCCCATCAATTGGGAAATGGATAAAGAAGCTGTATTGTGTGATTGTGATGGAATATTATTGTGTTATAAGAAATGACAAGCAGGATGATTTCAGAAAAACCAGGAAAGACTTACATAAACTGATGCAAAGTCAAGTGAACAGAACCAAGAAAACCTTGTATACACTAACAGCAATATTATTCAATGAAAAACTCTGACTTGGGGCTATTCTCAGGACAATCCCAAAGGACTAATGATGAAGCATACTATCCACTTCCAGAGAAAGAACTGATACTGTTTGAATACAAACTGAAGCATGCTATTTTTCACTTTTTTGCATTTTTTAAAATTTTATTTGAGTCTTGTACAAAATGACTAATATGGAAATGTTTTACATAATTACATGTGTAGAACTTACATCTGATTGATCACCATCTCAGGGAAGGAGGAGGGGAGAGAGAGAGAAAAGGTTAGAATTTGGAACTCAAAAGTTTAAATAAAAATGTTAAAAAAAATTAACTAAATTTGGCTCTCCTTGGCTATCTCTGAGGCTGCTGTCAATGGGCTTCTGAAAGGCATGTTTCTGAGATTGGTCACCCCCAAAACAGAACTATGGGTGTGAATGGGAGAAACAGGTATTGATTGACACCAAGAGGAATGCATTAGCAAGACCTTCAGTCTTAACCATCTTGGCTGTGGGTCCCCTGAATTATGACCATCCCAGTAATCAGTTCAGTTGAAGTTGTGACAAAATGGAAAACCGCATCAAGAATTTTTAAAAATTGACGGAATTAACAGTGTGTTTAAGTGACTTCTCCAGGGTTACATAGCTAAGTAAGTGGCTGAGGTCAGATCTGAGCTTAGATACTTCTTATTCCAGGGCTGGTGCTCTATCCACTGCACCACCTAGCTGCCGCATGTTTCCTTTTTCAGACTGTTCATTTTCTACATACTTATATGATCTTGGGAAAGTCATTTTTTATGATTGCATTTCAGTGTAATTGTTTTCCTTTCTAATCCCTGTTATTTTACTTTATGCATTTGAAAACATCATTCTGAGAAGGGGTCTATGACACAGAAAATGTTAAGATGGTTCAAGCCTTAGTGATCTTTTAAGACCACTTCTAGCTCTAAATCTTAAGACAATTATGTGATAAAAGGGTTTTTTAAAAAGTACCTTTATTCACAAAACAATTACACCTATTCAGAGGACAAAAATATTTAGAGCAAATAATATACCTACAACTTACAAAAACCTACAGTATTAAAAAAAATCGTAGATTATGAAAGGGACCTTAAAAGCAGAGCTAGAAGTATCAGAAGCAGGACTTGAACTCAGGTTTTCCTTGTTTACTACGTTCAGCCCCTTATCCACTAAATATCTGGTAGTCAAATGGTTAAATTGTAGACTCACAGACCAGTGTTTCCAAATGATCTTTTTCCCCCTAACAATTCATTTATGTTTTTAAAGCATACTCTAACTTAATCTTCCCATTTAAATACCTTATGTTGTTTAAACTTTGTCTTCCATGGGATATAAGAGATGAAGTGCTAATGACTGATTTTGTCAGGCAGTGTCATAGCAAACCTCCATGATAATTATAACAATAATATTTATATAACACTTCATAATAATTACATAACACTTTGAGATTTGCGAAACAAATATTTTATCCTCATGACAACTCTGAGAGTTAGATGTTCTAATTATTCCCATTTTAGAGATGAAGTAATTGAAGCAGCCAGAGATTAAGTGACTTACTTACCTGTTCAGGTAATAAGTGTCTGAGACCAGATTTCAACTCAAGTCTTTTTAACTTTAAGACCAATGCTATTTCTTTCTTGGTATAGTACCAAGGGCAATTAGGTGGCATGGTGGATAAAGTGCTGGGTCTGGAGTCAGAAAGACTCATCTTCTTGAGTTCAAATGTGGCCTCAGACACTTACTAGCTATGTGACCCTTGGCAAATCACTTAACCCTGTTTGCCTCAGTTTTCTCATCTGTAAAATGAGCTGGAGAAGGAAATGGTAAACCATGCCAGTGTCTTTGCCAAGAAAAATCCAAATGGGGTCACGAAGAGTGAGACATGACTGAAACGACACAACAACAGTAGTACCATAATCTGGGACGGAAAGACTTAGTCCTGTGATTTCATCGGTGTAGACAACTCAGTCAAGTTCCCTCCACTGACTGGCCTGGGCCACTCAGAAATTACTTACCTACAGTCACATACCTATCACCAGCGGGTAAGATTTGAACCCTGCTCTCACTGGCTTGAAGACTGGCCTTCCATCCTGTCTCATGTTGCCTCTCACAATAAATACTATTCCACTTTAATAGTGTCTTCTAGAATCCAGAGAACCTTGTCCATATGTCCCATCTTTTCTAACCCCTTTGGTTTCTAATCCTTTTCCCGTATTTTTGGCAGAATTATGCTGAATTGAAGTAAAGAAATAACTCCCTTTGCCAAGGTCATACTAAGTCTATGACAAGGCCAGAAGTAGAGCTTCCCTTTCCAAATGTTTTGTCCTCTGATTGCTAGACGACATCTGTTAGTATTGAGTTTTCTTTACTTTTTCCCCGGTCCTCAGTTTTAAATGTGAACAAGCTTGGTATTGCTAAGACACAAAACAAGTCTTACATAGCCAGTTCTTAATCATGCATGCCAGTGGATGATGTGATTAATTGGCAAGGGTAGGGTTGGTTTTTTGTTTGTTTGTTTGAATTTGTGCTGGGCTTTGAAATGTGTGCTTCATACTTAAATTTGGATGTGGTTAGATTCCTTCCTGAGATTCTTACCTCATGAAAGAAAACAATATAGCTGTGCCATGAAAGCTCAGCTCACTCAGGAGGGAAATGAAAAGCTGTCTAGCTTTTCTCAACCTTAGCACAGCTCCCTGAGCTCTTTCTTGCTGCCTAAATTTCTTTTTCATGTGACTGCCTTGAGGAGGCAGCCATAATTTCTCTCTCAAACTACTCTGTCTGCGTTTCACACCTTCTCTGTTTTAGGGGAGATAAATGTTTTCACCTGTGTGGGTGGTGTCAAACTCAAATAGAAATAGGGGCCATTATATAAGCCTCCCTGCTGGCTGCAAATTGACTTAGAAAACACATATTAACTTTACCTATGTTCTATTGTATTTTTATTCATTTTGTTAAATATTTCCCAATTACATTTTAATCTGGTTTGGGCTTTACTTGGTGAAAAGTAATGTCAAAGTATTTTTGTCATATACTCTGTTTATAATGATGTCAGTGACTTCGAAAACAAGTTTCGCCCTGAAAATGTGGAATGAACAAATGCTGACTATAATTGGTTTATCTTCTTTAAAATCCTTCATCCGCATGGTCTTTTTTGTTATTTTTCTTTCTCTTCTGCAGTCCAAAACAATAACAATCACGAATTCTGATACAGTGAATAATGTCATCACCACGGCCCTGTCAATGCTAGGGATAAATGTAAGTTACTTAGGTTTTCTCATGGTTAAGTGTCATTCTGATGGGGTTTTCTCATTGTTAAGTGTCATTCTGATGCCTGTCTGTGTAGGATCTCTAAATCTACCCAGAGCACAACCTCATTATCAAGCAGCTCATTATTTGGTGCAAATTCAGGTCAAATTACTCTTTAAAACAGAAAACTAAAAAAAAGCTGAAATATCAGGATTATTCTATAACTTGAGTATTGATTTAGTCACTGATATTAGTGTTACAAAAAGATCAGAGATTTAGAGTTGTCAGAGACCTCAGAAGTCAGAGGTCATCTTACCCAACAACCCTCCCCAATTTAGAGGTGAAGAAATTAAGCAGTTAACTGACTTGTCCAAAGTCACATGAGCAGTTAGGGGATTCTAATGAATATTTAAATATAAATTGTAGTCTAATGGAACTGAATTAAAACTAGGGCTTGCTAATAAAATTATGCCTTCCTTATTCTATATATTTCATATTTTGTAATATAACATTGTCTAATTTGAGAGTCTCAATATTGTTCCAGTATACTTAGGTCCCATGAATCTTGCTTTCATGCCCATTTTCCAGACTGGGAAATTTAAATGGAATAGTAAATGAAGAGGACTGTTTCACATAGAATTCAGATTATTTTTACATTCTGAATCCTTTACTCTAGCCAGTAAACATTTTACTGTGTACATGTTCATAGTAGTGGAATTTATTTTTTGCCTCAAGTTGGAACAACCTATGTCTAATAAATTTGTTTTAGCATCCTGACATTTTAAAGTATGCCTTGAGTTTGTTAGGTCAGGTGTTTTGAGAGTTTGTATCCAGGGAAGTGTGAAAAATGTGACATCTCTGGCAATGTGGGCAGGCCATTCTTTCTCTTACAATCCACCCCACGCCTCCCCTTCTGGCCTACTGCCATCTGGATCTTCTGTGAGAGTTCAATCAAGACAGCATTTCCCTCCAGATTTCTTTGTTTCCTCCCACAGAGACTTCTTCCTTAGGGGATTGTGCTTTTTTCAGCTTCAGAAAAACAGGGAGCTTTCTCCTGACTTTCACAATTCCAGATATGTTTCTGGAATGCTCAGTCCTTTCCTGACACAGACCAGTACTCACCAGCTTTGTATCAAAAAAGCATCCCAAAACTTTATCACAGCGTACGGTTGGGCAATAGAGTGACCATTTGCAAGGTGGGGAAGGGGGACAGAATAAGCATTTATATAGCATTTAGTGCCTGTCAGGCACTGGGCTTTACAAGTATTACCTCATTTGATCCTCACAACAACCCTCAGAGATATTACACCCATTTTGCAGTTGAGGAAACCAAGGCAGACAGAGGTTAAACTGCCTGCCCAGGGTCACACAGCAATTAAGTATCTAAGGTTGGATTTGAACTCAGGTCCTCCTGATTCCAGCCCCAACACTATCCAGTGTCCAGTGTAGCTGCCTTTGCCACTTGGATGAACTGGCCCAGCAAAAACGAAGGCATAAACAAGAGAGAATATAAGCAAGTTCTATAAAAGGAGTTTTAGAAAACAGTCCACGTATTTGACTGTTCCCTCAGAAGCCAGCCTATCCCAGAAGAAACCTTTGGACACACCACTAAGCACAGCCAGACCAGTCGGTGCTGTACGGACAGCTCAGCCTTGCCGTCCTTCCTTTGGCCTGGACTCTGGGGAAACACCGTGAAACATTTGCCATTCTGGTGGTTGACAGGCTCAAGCTCTTTACATTGTCCTGGTGCTCTGCCTCATGAGTCACCATCACTCAGCCACTCTCTGATCACAGTGGTTGTTGTGAGCCCAGACTCCAACATTAAGTGGTCAGAGCCCACATTGGCTTTTCAGTGATGGGCACAGATCTTGAACCAAAGAAAAAATGGGATGTTCTTAAGAGCAGGAGCTCCTTCAGGGATGGCTATTCAACCCAGCTGTTCCCATGATGACACCAGATGACTGCTCTGCTGATTACTACTGCTTTGGGCTTAATGCTAAGAAACATTTCTGCAAAACCTACAAGGGAAATAGACTTCTTCCTTTCCCCTTAGGAATATTCTATAGCTTGTTATTCCCTGTAACATCCCTTCTTAGATATCTTGAACATCTTGGGGGTTGCTTAAAGACAATCATAGCCAGTACAGAGTAAAATAAAAGACTGCTTCTTGTAGGGATGCATTTAAGGAATCTTTCATGGGCTGTAGGGGAAGGGGTGTCAAGTTTGATCTGTTTTTACTAACCTGAGATCACTGAAATGTTGAAGGCTGAAGGAGATGGTTCCCTTTTATTTTAAATTATATCTTAGGTCCCCTTATATTTTCCAGAGATATTGATTAACTTTGAACACTCCCTGGGACAGCACTCAGCACTGATCAGCTGTGAGACCCCAGGCATGCCAATGCACACACATAAAGAGAAAAAGTTCAGTTGTCTGCCTTTTGGCTTTAAGTCCTAGCATATAAAAGCTATCTTGACATTTTTAACCAAATTTTTACAGTGCAGTATAATTTAGGGTCAGAGGACTTGGGTCCGGATCTCACCTTTGTCACTCTCCACTGTGTAACTTTGGACCTCAGTGTCCTTATCTGTAAAAATGAGGGGCAGCTATAGTCAATAGAGTGCTGGGTTTAGAGTCAGGAAGACTCATTTTCTTGTCTTCAAATCTGGTCTGAAGTTAATGTCTGTGTGACCTTGGGCAAGTCACTCAACCCTGCTTGCCTCAGTTTCCTCATCTATAAAATGAGCTGGAGAAGGAAATGGCAAACCACTCTAGTATCTTGGCCAAGAAAACCCCAAATGGGGTCATGGAGAGTTGAACTGAACAGGTGGAAGCCTGATTCTGGAGGACTTTAAATGCCAAGCTGACAATCTCAGATATTATCCCAGGTAATAAGGGGCTGCTGAAAACTTTTTAGTAGGGGGATGTGATATTCAAAATTGTGCTTTAGGAATATCTACTTAGGGGCTATGTGGAGGATGGTTTGGAAAAGGAAGAAAATGAAAAAAGGGATACTAACTAGATGCAATCACAGTAATTCAGGTGAGTGGAGAGGAGGGCCTGCATTGGCATAGAGGCTGTGTGAATAAAGAGAAGGGGGGAAGAAGACAAGTATTTTACTATATACCTACTGTGTACTTAGTACCTTACAAATATTATCTCATTTGATCCTCACAATAACTCTATGAGGATGGTACTATTACTGTCCCCCATTTTACAGATGAAAAACTGAGGCTGAAGAGGTTAAGTGACTTGCCCAAGGTCACACAGCTAGTAAGAGTCTGAGGCCAGATTTGAACTCAGGTCTCTCTGACTCTCAGTCCAGCTGTACCACCTGGGTACAGTGATGAGAAATGTTGTAGAGGGAGGGTCAATGAGACCTGACAACTAACTGCCTAGTAAAAGGAGAGGGAAAGTGACTCCACAATTGGTAAAGCAAATGATTGGAACAAAGGGAATTCCATTAAAAAGAAATGGGAATGTTTGTAGGAAGATTTCTGAACACCTCCCAATGTTTTAATTGTGGTATTTTCCTAGAAAACACACACCTAGTACCTAGCTCTTAAGTATGAAATGGAGTTGATATTCTACTTCTCTGTAATGAATTAGCAAATGAAAATAAATTCTTTCAGTTTAATTCAGCAAACTGTTATTAAGCACCTCGTATATACAAGATTGTTTATTAAGTACGAGTATATAAGATAGCTTATTAAGCACCTAGTACACACAAGACAACTTCTTAAGCACCTAGTATATACAAGATACCGTGCTTTGGGCTTTGATCTAAATGGACATCCGTACCACCCTGTACACTTTCCTGTTTCTGGCTCCTCAACAACTTCTATTTTGAAGAGAAATATTTGAGAAGTTTTTCAGGTGGAGGTGACTAGATATTTCAGTGCTGAAGAAGAAAAGAGGAGTTGGAAAGTTATCATGACTAGAAAAGTCACAGAAAGCTTTCTTACAGCAGAGCCCAATCCTCCTTCCCTCTTCTGTCTCCTTAATATATATACAGCACAAAAGCCAGTATCCTGTTTAATAGAAAGGGAATGAGAAGCAACATAATGCAATGAAAAGAGACTGAAATTGGAGTCATGAGTCTTGGGTTGCAATTCCTCTCTGCCACCCACTAGCTCAGGCAAAGTCCTTCAGCTTTCTGGCATTGTTTCCTAATCTAGAAATGGGGTTGTGCTAGATGACATCTAGGGCCCCTCCAGCCCTAAATCTGTGATCCTACGGCTGCTAGTTTGACCAAGACCTAAGGAAGCCCTTCCGGAAGATGTTTATCATCACAACCAGATGAAAAAAAGTATCATCATTGTGAGCTCTTTGCTGAGACATTGAAGAGCCTCTAGTAATAACTAACATTTCTGAAATGCTTTGCACTTAGAAAGTAGTTTCCATATATTCTACTATTTGAATATCATCATGCCCTGTGAGGTAATTGTGCACATATTTTATCCTCATTTTATAGATGAGGAAATGGAAGCTTAGAGAGGCTAAAGAGCTTATTCAGAATTCCTTGGCTAATAAGTAGTAGGGCCAGAATCTGAACCTACGTCTTCTGACTCTGACTCATGTGTCCATTCCTTTATATTATATTGCTTTCTTATACAAACCGCATCATTCTAATCACACTTATTTATTTGTAACTAATCTTCAGTGTCCAGGTCGACAACCATTTGCTTAGGTTGTGAGGGGAGGAATTGGTTCTCACCCACCAATGTAGATTTTAGAAAATAATAGAATGAGAAGGCCACATATTGAACTGTACATCAGGATGTTCTGTTTTATTCTCTGAAATAACGCCAACTGGGAGACGTAGGATGAGGCAGTTAATGCGTTTTCCTCATCTGTAAGAGAAGGGGGGAGGAAGGGAGAGTATTCCAGGGTCCCTTCCAGCTGTGGCATTCAATGGTTGATTCCTCTCGGATTGCTTGAAGGCGTGAGCTCTCCTGATGTGTTTAAAGTATAATTGTTTGGACAGAAATTTTACTTACTTAGAAATTCTTTATAACACACTTATTAGATTAAAGCAAGTCTCTCCTAATGTTGTTTCTTCTACCCTTTCTCTTGTATTCATTTCTATATATGAAGAGCTCTAACTGGTGTGAAATGAAGAGTAAGGCACTAAGTCTTGCAACAGGCTGGTTGCAAAAACCATTGTGATTAGTTTGAAGGAAAAAAAATAACATTTGATATATTATGATCTCCTTCAACAATCTGATGAGTTTCTTTTCTCATTTGTTCTTTTTTTCCTTGGCTCAAGTGATCAATTTTTTTCACATGAAAAGAATCAAACTATTTAATTTGAGGATGGAGGCTGTTCACTCATATATGGTTTCCAGGAATCACAATTCTGTTTTTTCTGCCACTACATAAAATGACAGGATTTTATTAGGGGTATATCTTTCTATTTGCAATAAATTTAAACTAAAGTTTTACCACTGAGATGCATAAAGAATATACTTGAAGTTTTGATGTCTTTTCGTGTGAAATAAGTTAACGTTCTCCATGACCAAAAGAAGGATTTCTAGTAAATAGAGTTCTGGACTTCAGTTCAGGATATAGACTGAGTTCAAATCCTATCTCAATCACCTATTAGCTTATGTGGCCCTGGAGAAGTCACTTCTAAACTTCAGATTCCTCATCTATAAAATGGAAATGATCATAGTACCTACTTACTAAATAGTTGTGAGGATCAAGACAATCTGTGTAAAGTGCTTTGCCAACATTAAAATGCTATATGAATTATGACAATGATGATGGTGATGATGATGAAATGTATGAGAACAAGGCTATGGTTTTCAATGGGAAGTGAAGGGGGAAAAAAAAAATCAAAACCAAACTATGAACCATCTTGCCAAAGTCTAATCTATCTGAGAGAATTTTCTGCTGTAAAATACTTTTAAGATGATCCCACAGAAGATATGCCAGGGAGGGTTATCTCTCCCCAAAATGAGACTTCTAGAATCTATTGTTTTCTATTAATGAAAGTGATTGTGCAAGTGGATGGCTTTGCTTTCCCTGTTTAGAATTGCTGTGCTCTAGATTCAAGATTTTTTTCTGCTCTCTCTTTAGGATTTTGCTTAGCTGAAATCCCAAACACACCCCTTCTATGCCATCATCTCAACGCTAGTTGCCCAGCTGCTACCAGCAGCAGGGTTAATGCACTTTATAAAGCCGTCACCCCTGTCTGTCACAGCACTAAATGAATGGTGCTTGTGGTTTTCCCAGTGGTATGACAGATATTTATTGTAGGGTCAAACAGAGCCCACATCAAAGATTTTCTGAGAACACTGAGGAACCAACAAAGGCCAAGATCCCAAAGAGGAGGCCTTTCTCTTGGAAATGAGAAGGAACATGGAAAAGTGTTCCAAATCACTAATAAAATGAGAGATAGAAAGGAAATTCACGATGAGGTTCTACCTCACACCAATAAATTGAAAAAACATAATAAAAAATGGGAACAGTCCACGTTTGAGGGGCCGTGGAAAGACAGGAATATGAAGACACTATTTGTAGTACTATAAATTGTTCCATCTGTTTTGGAGAACAATTTGGAATAATGCAGCAAAGACCATTAAGCTAGACCTTTTGGTTTAACTGTACCAGGAATGGGCACATAATCCAAGGCAGTCAATGGCAGAAAGGAAAGTCAGTACATAGAAAGTGTCCCAAAAGTCTTGGAAGCAAAAAATTCAGAAATAAAATGGATGCTGTTCAGTGGGGGAAAAGTTGAACAAATTGTTACATATGAATATAGTAATACCATCATACTGTAAGGAAGGTCAGATATAAGGAATTCACAAAAACAAGGGAAAACAAATGTCTGTGACCAATCCAGAAAAGCTTGGCATTGCTCATGTAGGAGGTGGAATTCAAACCAACTTTGAGGGATGCTAGAGATTCTAAGAGGTGAAGGAAGAATGCTGTACCAGACTGGCTCTAGAGTGAGAGGACCTGGGTTCAAATCCTGCCCTGGTATTTAGTGCCTTTGTGACCTTGGACAAATCACTTCACCTTCCTGGGTCTGTTTCCTCATCTACAAAATGAAGGGGTTGTGCTACATGGCCTCGAAGGTCTCTCCCAGCCCTAAATCTATGTCCTATGATAGAAGAAGGTTAAAAGACAGAGAACTCTAATGAAGAATCTCTGTTCTGCAAAACAAACAACGAAACATCTTTCACCTGGACAACTGGGAGATTAGGGATGTAGAATGTGGGACATGCTGTCCAGCGCAAGCATTAGGTTCACTGGCTTTGCTTAAATGCTTTTGTGTTGCGTCATTACCAGGAACACTTCAATGGGGCCAGGGAGGAGGGCGAAAGGGAAATAACTGTATAAAAGAAAAAGGCAACAATGAAAGTTTAAGGAGGAAAAAAAACAAAGGAAATGAGTTCCCTGAACTTTGAAGAAATAGTGAAGATATGAAGTCACGGTCTGTGGATTGCATCACAAGAGGGATGGGATTCTCTTAGGGTATGTAATACTGTTTGTAGTTTGATATTTCCCTGGACTCTTCATGGAAAGGGGAGGACATCTGGATCCTTTGGCCCATCTCTGAAGCTCTGGGATGGCTTTCAGCCCCACTGCCTCAGACTACCATCAGTTACAGCATGCCATAGCCAAAATAGATAGTAAAAGACCCTTTGGCAATCACAGAATTGAAAATCTCTAGCACAAACCAAGCAAGAAAACTGCTTTAACTCTTGAAGGGTGTCTGTGCGTTTCATTTCCTAGGGTTCTGCAGAAGATTACCAACTCTGGGTGAACTCTGGGAGAGAAGAAGCTCCGTACCCACTCATTGGTAAGTTTCTGGGAAAATCTAAGCAGGGGGAGGTGTTTCAAAAGGTATTTGAAAGGAAAACCCCCCAACAGAGGGATACTTAGTGCTGATCTTGTTACCTTTGGCCCTTCTCTCCTTTGTCTTATGCTTCCTCAACAAAACAGATGTTTACTTTTCAGAAAGATTTCTAGAGTATCCTGAGAAAATGTAAAAGAAAGAAAGAATAAGGCTGAGGGGGAACCAAAAGGCACATCTTGATTTACCTCCTAGTTTCTTGTTTCTTGGTTGATGGATGATTTCCATTGTACAGGGTGCTTGTCAGGCCACATCTAGAACACCATGTCTTGACAATATGGAATAGGCCCAGGGAAAGGCAACCAAAGATGGTGAGGGGGTAGTGGGTAGGGGCTGGAGAATGAGCCCCATGCAACAGTGAGATCAGTGAGAACGAGAGATGTTTCAAGAAGGTGGAGGGCTGGGGGTGGCACAGGTTATGAATACTGTCTGGAAGTATCTGAAGTCTATCATGTGGAAGACACATGAGATTTCTTTTCCTTAGACTCAGATGGGAGAAATCAGGAGCACTGCCAGTCAGAAGCTGCTGAGAGGTACATTTTGCTTCAGTGCAAGGAAAACCTGCTTAGCAATGGGAGTTGTCCAGGCATGGAATGAGGTATCTTTAGAGGGATGGTTTCCCTATCACTGGCTGTCCTCAAATGGAGATTAGATGACTCCTAAAATTTGGATGAAATGTCTTCAGAGAATTATGATGCTCTCACAATATCTTCCCATCTAATTCTTTGTTGTTGTTTTTTCTTTTGGGCCCATCCAGTCAATTCTAGAATAGTTCTCTTCTTTGCCATGTGCTTATTACTTAAAGCATAGTTCTTGAATTTTGCCTTAGTCGCCAGACTGACTCTGCCTTGAGAGAACGCCTCATGATGGAGGCCTAGGAAACAGTCCATCTGCGAGAATCATAAGCACCTTACCTCTTTCTCTTCACAGTATTCTCCTACTCCCAAACCACAGGGTTAAATCATCTCTTTGCCTGCACTTCTTAGCACTAATTCACCAGAGGCCATAACTAAAATCACTAGATCGTTAACTCTCTTCCCTCTAATGAGCACCAGTAAAGCAGGAGGCTTGGACCAGGGGATCCAGATCTCCTGGACAATCTCCAGGGTGCTGGTTGCCACCAGGCCCCTCACTGTGAAGTCGGCTGGAATCCAGAAGGGCTTCAGAGCTGGCCATATTTCCCTATGTCCACCATAGAGACTCCTGTCAGCAATTCTCTCAGTGATCTCAAGGCAAGTTATATCCAGGCATCTCAGCTGCAGGGGATCCTCTCTCTCTGCAGGACAGACACATGTACACACACTCACATTGACTTTAAAAGTCACTTTCATTATGTCATTTCTGCGTCATATCAAAAAGAAGAAATGTCTCTCTCACTTGATAAATCTTTCTTGAAAAGCTGCATGAAAGAATCAACAATATTGGAAGACCTTTATGATTGAGGAGTTACAAGTCTTTGGAAGTACATTTAAACAGCACAATTTTCACAGTAGTTTCTTGACAGGTGCATCGTTCCATTCAGCATGACTTTTAACTCCCTTTCATAATTAAAGGCAGCTATGAAATGGTACGACTTATATTGTCTTATGCCATTAGCAAGATTTAGACCCAGAGTGGACCTAGCTTGTTCTGCTTGCCCAGTCCTTAACCTTTATTTATTGAAGCATTTAAGCGTGCCTGTATTTTCTCCTAAGGAGACTATCACTTGGGTTCTACCTTCAGAGAGGCATCTGTGGTCTGCTGGAAAGAGACCAGCATTGGCTTTTGATTCAGACAAGCTGGATTCAAGGCCTGCTTCTCTCACTTCCTAATTCTGTAAATTTGAGCATAAACTTCACCATTGTCAACTTCCTTTTCCTCATCCAGAAAGCGCCAATTAAGAATGCTTTAGTTCTGCTTCCTTCTCTGGTTTTTTGTGAGAATCAAATGAGATAACACACACACATGTTATTGTGGTGGCGGCTGTGGATGTGCTTGTGTTGTTGCTGTTCAGTCATTTCAGTCATGTCCAGCTCCTTGTGACTCCATTTAGGGGTTTCTTGGCAGAGATAGTGGAGTGGTTTGTCATTTACTTCTTCAGCTCTTTTACAAATGAGGAAACTGAGGCAGAGCTAAATGACTTACCCAGGATCACACATCTAGCAAGTGTCTCAGGCCAGATTTGAACTCAGAAATATGAGTTTTCCTGTCTCTAGGCCTGGTGCTCTGTCTATTGCAACACTTGGCTAAATATCTATCTGTCTACCTATCTATACGCACACACATATACATGTAAACATGTACATATGTGTGTATACGTATAGAACATATATGTGTATACACACACATATACATATATACATACACACACATACATACATGCATACATACATATATACAAAATCTTTGTCAACTTTGTAAGTATCAACAATGGTCATTCCACCTCTGAATTACTACTGCATAGGCACATGTTGTCAGTCTCAATCTCTTGGTTACTTTTGCTGAACTGCTTCTTCGCCCTCTTTATGTTTGGTAATAGGTGCTGACTTACTGTGTAGAATAGGACAGAGGGATAAAGATGACATAAAAACTAGCAGATATAAAAAAAGAATTAAAGTTTTGAGTATAAAAGACTTTCCTTGGGCCCTTTCCTTTTTCAGTGGGTTCGGCAGTTAGGTGATCTGTCTCTTACTTCTCACTCTTGTTCCATACTGGGCTCATCTCTTGGAATGCTTGCTTTAAGAAATGAGGACAAGAAGTAAAGTGTCCACAAAGAGGAAAATGTGGAGACCCATTCAGCTTCTTCCTGTTCTGTTCACAATAGCAAATTCTCTTCAAGTTTCTGATCACATTTTTAGGTCATTTTAGTTGGGGGCAGGCATCCTATTGACATTCAAGAAAAGCCCATGCTTTGGCAGGAGAGAACATTGTACTAGAGAAGATTCACAGCTTAGATAAGACACATCCCATTTCTTCATGCAGTTTGCAATTAATTCAGTGGGATGGGCTGCCTCAAGAGATAGCAGGTTCCCACCCCAGCATTGAAGGTTTTCTAGCAGTAGCCAGATAATTACTTGTCATTTATGTTACATTTGGGGGGGTCTTTTGTGCATGGATCGGAATAGGTGGCTGCTGAGGTCTTTTTGAACTCTCAAATTCAATGATAGCATTCAGTAGGAAATCAGATATGTACAAGAAGGCAAAGTGGTATAGAGAGAGTCAGAAAGATCTGCGTTCAAGTCTAGACTCTGAAACATACCAGTTGGGTGACCATGGGCAAGTCTTATCCTCTTCTTTTCCCTGGGCAGCTTTGTAACTCTATGATTACAGTTCACAGATGGGTTGTCCATCTTCGTTAGTGCAAGTAATCTCCATGCTGGGAGTTGCCTACACCAATGAAATCATGATGATGCACAGATACCTATAATGTGTAGCATTCAGTGCTAAGTATATTAGAGCAAGATCAACACACTGTTAGAGGAGATCCAAGGGGAAAGAGCATTATTGGAAAGGTGGGACCAGAGAAGACATTGATCCATGTGTCCCTGGGCCATGACAAAATAAGTTGTCAACTTTGTTGCACTTAATTTAGTCCCTATGCAGCTGCTGATATTTTGGCTTTTCTTTCTTAAAGGGGGCCAAGAATTTGAGTTAAGATGCCCAGCTTTCAGAGGAGCTTTGGGCACTTGGTCATTTATTCTCAAATCTTCAAGTTTGTTCCCCTTGGCATCTTTGAGGGAAATCCTATGGGTAGCAGCAGCCTTTAGGCTCTTAACCTAACCTGCATCAGAGACATTATGGGTGCCTGCAAGATACCAGTGCACACCCTGATTGTCACACTACATCAACACCACATTTTCTGTATCCTGAGGGCTTTTCAACCCTGAACTATTGATTAGCCATGTGTCCTTCACACACATTTCTTTCATTTGGACCCCTCACACCCTTTTTTTTTTTTGGCTGACTGGTAGAAGTTGCTGTAATAATTTATTATGGCTGGAGCTTCATCAGTGTGTTGGGATCTCTGCCAGAAGAACACCAAAAGGAAAGAATGGGTTGCTTAAGTTTAGTAAGACAAAGTAGGAGTGGGATGAAGGGCACCTTCACTGCTCCCTTAAAATATCTCCATTACAGCAAAATTTGGAACATAGAGGCCGTTGTGAGCCTGTTGTCAGCCTGTGAGACAGTGACCCACCAACATGTACTCCATTCTTACACCCCAGAAGTCTAGTTATCCAGTCTGGGAAGGGTCTGTGTTGCTCACTGATTCCTACAGCCTTGCCGTCATCCGCTTCCTATGACGGTTCTCCCATTGTCTATTGCTTTTTTTTTTGGGGGGGGTGAAGCAGTTGGGGTTAAGTGACTTGCCCAGGGTCACACAGCTAGGGGGATCATATGTCTGAGTCCGAATTTAAACTCAGGTCTTCCTGACTCTAGGGCCAGTGCTCTATCCAGTGCACCACCTAGCCGCCCCCTCCCATTGCCCATTCCTGACAGAAGACAATGGCAGAAGAGAAGACGGAGAGTGGACAGAGTTGTTCCCAGCAAATGTTGTCAATTCTTAACTGTCCAGGGTCACATCCAGTATGTGAATGATCTGGCCAGCTCGATCCCCAGCTGTCTCTCTTGTCAGTGTAGAGAGAACATTTTCCAGCCTAACTAGACTATTCCATCCTTCAGACATTCCCTGAGCTTTCCTATCTCTGTGTCCAATACCTAAAATGCCTTTCTTCCTCCTCTTCACCTGCTAACCTTCCTTTATTTTTTCTAATTTGTTTTGCTGTCCCTTGTTTGTCCATCAAGTACATTGCAAAAGAAAAAAAAGCAGTTAAGTACAACTAACCCATACATCAAAAAAATCTGACAGGATATTCACTGCTCCATATCCATAACCCCCAGCCCACACACACTCTGCAAAGGCTCAGAGGAGGTGCCTTCTCATCTTTCTTCTTTTGGGGTTGACCTTAGGCACTATAAATTCACAGCATTCAGTTTTGCTTGCTTTTGGTTGTGCACTCCATTTACATTGCTGTAGTCCCTGTATCTATTGTTTTCCTGGTTGTGTTTACTTCACTTTGAATCAGCTGAAATAAGTCTTCCCGTAGGTCACTGAATAAATAATAACCCATTACGTTCACAAACCACATCATGTTTAGCCATTTCCCAATCGATGGGTACAAATTGTGTTTGCTTGTTGTGTGTTGTTGTTCAGTCATGTCCAACTCTTCGTGGCCCCATTTGGGGTTTTCTTGGCAAAGATACTGGAATGGTTCGCCATTTCCTTCTCCAGCTCATTTGTACTGATGAGGCCACTGAGGCCAACGAGGTTAAACGACTTGCCATGTTCACACAGATAGTAAGTGTCTTGAGGCCAGATTTGAACTCAGGACGATGAGTCTTCCTGACTCCAGGTCTGGAGCTCTACCCACTGCACCATGCAGTCAGGATAACTCATCATCTCGAGTGTACCTTGTGTTAGAGTTTCTGCCTTAGCTTCCGTAAGATTAGAGTTATGTCTTCCCAAAATATCATTTCTCCTGGTGCCAAGCAGAGAGTTTTGTGCCCAGCAGACACTTAATAAATTATGGATAAATGGAGATGAGTGGTTGGATCATTGAATCAGGAAAGTGCAGAGCTTGCAACCAATACCTGACTATAATTGCATTAGAACTGATTTGCCATATCTCCCTGTTCCTCTGTTCTTCCTTTTTTGTAAGGAATTAGCAGAATAAGAGAGATATGCTCAGATGTCAGCACAGGACCTTTAAGCTTATAAAATTTGAAGTTTTCTTCTTTTGTCTTCCTCAAGGAAGGACAAAATAAGAAAACATGTGCTCCTTGCTACTCTGAGAATAGAGAACTCAGTTTCTACTACAGAATATTCCTCTGGACCTGTGAATGATGATTATTGCCCAACAAAGTTTATATGCACTTTTTAATGCATGGGGCAGATAGGAGGCTCGGCAGATAGAGTGCCAGGTCTGGAGTCAGGAAAACATGAGTTCAAATCTGGCCTCAGCCACTGCTGTATGACCATGCACAAGTCACTTATCCCTGTTTATCTCACTTTTCTCATTTGTAAAATGAGCTGGAGAAGGAAGTGGCAAACCACTTCAGTATCTTTGCGAAGAGAAACCCAAATGGGGTCACCAAGAGTCAGACATGCCTGAAACAACTGAACAACATCACCCAGACAGAAATTGATCGCCATTCCAGTACACTGCATACACTTTCACGACAAGGTAGCTACGGTATAACTTTGTGACCAAGCTATTCAAAGTCCATTATTTGGACCTTTCTCTTCTAGGTCATGAGTATCCTTATGGAATCAAAATGAGCCACCTTCGAGACACTTCATTCCTGACACAGGGATCAAAGGACTCACCATCCCCTTTGGACTTCCAGGAATCCTTCCTCATGGAGCAGCTGCCCCGGGAGATGCAGTGCCAGTTTATACTGAAGCCCAGCCGCCTGGCCAGGAGCCAACCACTGACCGGTGAGTGGCTTCCCCTCACAGGGGTGCGTTCAGCACCAACTACGTAGACATTAAAACAGCTGTTAATCCAAGCGAAATTAGTTGAGGCAAGAGATGAGGGGGAACAAATTCTAGCCAGATAAGGAGCTTTTTCTGTCAGATTGCTCTCTATTTACACTTAACTGAGAAAAGGTGAGACTTCCCAGAAAGGGTCATGTTAGTTAGCAGTATACATCAGTGGACAGATAGCAACAGTATTTTCTGTTGTTCCTTTTCGACATTTCCCTTTTTACTTTAAGCCTCTGCTCACTAGAAAGACTGAAACCAGGTGACATTATCGGTACTTCCTCAGCCCCTCTTTTGCAAACCTTCTTCTCCTGTCATCACACACACTACTGCATCAGTATTTAAGTACACAAGATGCGGAATCAGGGATACCTGAGTTCAAATCCTGCCTCAGATAATTACTAGATGTGTGACTTTGGGCAGGTCACTTAACCTCTTTTTGCCTCAGTTTCTTCATCTATTAAATGGAGATAATGATAACACCTACTTCACAAGTTTGTTGTGAGGATCATATGAGATGATATTTGTAAAGTGCATGGTAAACCTTAAAACATTTCTAAGTATTGTTGTTATTGTCACCTAATGGATAAATCATGGGAATTAGGGCATGAGGAAGGTGTGTGTCAGTAGGCTGAGGTACCCTGCTTGGTGGCTGATATTTATGAAAATAAAGCTAGATGGAAGCAGAATATTCCAGTGATGCTGGGGAAATCTCTGCCTGGCTTTCTGAACCATATGAGTTAACATATGACTATTTTTGTCATGTTGTCATGTTCTGGACTAAACAGTTTTCTTACACCTCACAATCATAGAAGACAATATGAAAGGAATTGGAGCTGAGGGTAACCTTAGAGATCACCTAAGCTAGCCCCATCATTGTACAAGTAAGGAGATGAAGATTCAGATGGTGACCTGCCCAAAGTCACACAGCTAACAGGCAGCAGAGTTGGGATGTTTGAAGCTCTGGTGTCCTAAGAACAAATTTTCTACTGCCCAGGCTGCTTTTTCTCTTAGACTCTGGATAAAAAGAATACAACATAGCCTTAGTAAATTAGGAAGCATCTTGAATATCACGTCCTAATCATCTTCGTACCTTTTCCCATTTTCTCTTCATTCTCCCTTCCCAACACAAAGCACACACATCTAACACAAAGTTACAGTATCAACTTTTCTGGACACTTTTGATTTCTAGAAAAGTAAGTACATTTTAATAGAGTTTTGAAAAAGGAAAGCTTAATGTCCTAATTTATGGCCCAGAGAATGTAATACATACTCAGTGAATTTAGGTAATGTTAAACAGTATACCTTTCTTTGTTGTTGTCATATCTCCCTGCTTCTGTTTGAAGCATCTTGAGGGCAAGTCACATATAGTATCTGAGCTTTATATAGCCCCTGGCACTGTACAGAAGCAGTGCCTAATGAATGTCATGTGTATATGCACACATGTGGTTTTCAATAACTGCTTATTGAATTTAATTGTGCTGATTCCAGAGATTGAGTTATATGTCAAACAAGAGAAAACGGATTCTAGAACACAATAAACAATTTTTAAAAATTGAAAATTATTTTCATCTATTCAATTTGAAGAATAGTTTTTTCACCATAGTATTTTCATACTGTTTGAAAGCTCACATTATATACTACTGTCTACATGAGGCCTTTAATGATCTTGCTAACTCTTAGTGACTCTATCCCCACCTCCTCCCTGAAAATAAAATTACTTTATATTTCATATGTGTATGCTTGTATCTCTACATGTTGTCTACCCTAATAGAATAAACGTTCTGTTTCAGCTTTGTCTTTGTATCTCCAACAGTCAGTCAGTAAGCATTTATTAAACTCCTACTATGTACAAGGCTATGTGCTATTTGCTGGGGATAAATAACGGCAAAATATAATCTGTCCTTTCAAAGAGATCACAGCCTAACAGAGGAGACAATATTCCAAGAACTATGTACGACAAGCTGTATACAGGATAGATTGGAGATAGCAGAGGGACGGCACTAGCGTTAAGGGAAAGGCTTATATCTATTTGAAGGCCAGGACACCAGATTCCTTGGAAGAAGCACAGATTGATGAGCAAAAGGATAGTAGAAGGAGCAAAGTCTTGGAGGAAGTGGGAGGATAAAAACACAGATGGAAGTTTGGAAAGTAGAAAATGTGTCTTCTTCTGAGACAGAAGGGAAGCATATTAATAGTAGCAAATACCTGTAGCACTTTGGGATTTACGAAGTAGCTGATATTTGTTATCTCGTGTTACTTTCACAACTCCCTTCTGAAGTAGGTCATTGTAGAAATGTTATCATACCTATTTTACAGATGAGAAAAAAACACAGAGAGTTAAATTGAGGTGAAAAGGAGCATGAAAGTCCTTGAGAGCAGAGGCTGTTTTTATTTTTGTCTCCTTATCCATGGAGCCTTGTTCAACTTTGTGTTTGTTGAATTGGATTGAATGAAAGAATGAGAATGAATGAAAGCATTGCTAGCAACAATGGAGGCCTAGGGAAGTTAGGTAAAATGGAAATGATATGAACTCTGTCTGTAGAATTCTATGACTTTCTCTAGCAGTACAGTACTTTATACTTGAGGTTAGCAGTGGACAAAGTGAGCCTTACAAGCCAAGATGTCCAGGTTCATGTTTGAGCACCAGTGTTTTCAGTGCAATGAGAGCAGTGGGTCCAATTTCCGTATTTCTGTGCCTCTGCTTATCTGCTTGGATTAACTACAAGCTCTCTCTCAGAATAATGTGATATACCCATTTTACAAGTGTGTTAACTGAGGCAAGCTATAGTTAATAAAACCTCAGACCAATTTAGGTCAGTCATTAGAAATTCACAGGGTAGTAGGGTATATTTGGAGATCATTGAGGCCATCTTCATGCCTTCTGTCACGGGATCCTAGACTGAGAGAAAAAAGGGGATGCTCCAGGTCATCTAGTTCTACTCTCTCATTTTAGAGTTGAAAAAATTGAGACCCCAAGAGGTTAGGTTACATGCCCACATTTCATGCAGCTAGTTCTCAGATTCCAAATCCAGAATTTTTTCCACTCTGTCATACTGCTTCCCCAAATCTTTCTAATGGGACCAGACATTAGCTACCCTCCAAAATGGTTAACATCATCACCTGCCAGTAGATGCAGTACTTTATCCTCGTTTTATATAGACACTAATGGGAAAGCAGTGATAATACAGGTGTGCAGTGCCTTAAGAAAATTCAATTTGCAAAAATCTAGATCTAAATACTAGACAAGCAAAAAGTTCTCCTCACTCTATCTTAGAATGCAGCCCAGGATTCCTTGAAATAGAAACCTCCTATTGTGTTTTAAAAGACTTAATTTTTCATTTGATTTGTACACAACTCCAGAAACATCTGGTGTGTTAAGTGAGCTACAACTGTGCCTTCCTCAACCGCCCCTCAGTGTTAGCATTTTCGTAGCATGGGCACAGTTATGAAACAAATAGAATTCTCACAGCACTCACTCCTTGATGCTCATTCCCTGTCTCCATGATTTTGCTTCTTCTGCTACCACTACCCAGCTTAATGATCGTGGACTCAGAAATCCAGAGCTGGAAGGGACATCAAAGGCTATCAAGGCCAGCCACCTCATTTTATAGATGAGGAAACTGAGGCCCAGGAGGTAAAATCACTTGCTGGAAGTCACAGATAGTATCAGGCAAGATTTTGACCGAAACCTTCTGATACCGGGCTCTTCTTTACACTTTACTTAGTTTGTGTTCAACTTTATTCACTAATTACAATTCCTGAGATTTGTATAGTACTTTAAGGTTTACAAAACACTTTGCAAACATTGTCCCATTTGAGTCTCACAACAACCACATGAAATTATTATTCTAGCATACTAAGTGATGAAGGTAAGGATTTGTGGTGGGAGAGGACAAGGTAGATGGGAAGAAAGGAGGAGAGAGGGAGGGAGGAAGGAAAGAAGGGAGGGAGGGAGGGAGGAAGGAAGGATTAAGCATCAAGCATCTACTATGTGCCCTGCACTATGTTAAGTGAAGCTAAAATGGGGAAGATGATATGGGGACAGAATCGTAGGATTTGGAAATTTTGGATATGGAGCTGAATGTAGGTGGCTGGGAGAATGGTTATCATCTTTAGAAGCAGGGAAGTTGGGAGAATGGGGCCAAGGTTAAGGAGAATAAACTATTATCAAGACAGTTGGGAGAAAAGGTAATAAAATATGGCCCCTCATCTATCCTAGTACATATGGTTCTTTTCTTTCTCTCTCACATGTCTAAATCTTCCCTCTCCAATTAAACTAAGGTTATATATTTAGTGCTCAGTGTGTCGCAAGAGCTCAGTGAATTCATAATTGAATTAAACCCTTAAATATCCAAATGCATTTCTGATACATGAGAATAGGACTTTTCAGAAAGTTAGATTTTAGGAAATAAAATTTTCTTCCATCTTACCTAATTTCTAGTTCAGTGATTGACCTTTCTTAGAAGAAATCGCACTGGCTAGAATAATTCAGTTCTTGGCAATAGCATTCTTTCTCAGAGTCATTATGTCTGCAGTATTTGCGGGATTGAGGTTCAGAAGTTTACAAGCCTTGATAACCTGTGGCCAGCCTCTAACTAATTCCTCAAGGGGGTGGGAGATGGGGTGGGAGTGTCTGTATAGAGTCTTTACAGCCTTAGTGGGTTAGGGGGAAGAAGAGGAAGGCAGGGTTAAGGCCAATTTAGGAAAAGACTAGAGAGAGTCCTTGTCTTTCTTTGGTTTCATTCACTCTCCACCAGTGGAGGATAATTTCTGAGCTTGGGCAGATTAGGAAGAAACTTGAAAGCAGGCTTTGACCATCCAGGGTTAGATACATGAGTGAAGGGGACATAACTTGGAAAAGTCTCAGTAGTTCTATCTATAATCCTCAAGTCTCTTTGTCACTTGGGTTGTTATAAGAAGGCCAAGTTCTCCTACTACATCCAGGGCCATCT